GCTTTGGCGCTACACTTTTGCTGAGCCTCCTTTTTGGTCCTTGGTGTGCCTAAAATTTGATTCAAAGTCAAAATTTTCTTGAAACAGATTCATCCCATGACGAAGGCTATGGAGAAATAAGTTTACATTTCTTTTTAAAAGTCTTATGTTTATCCTTAATGATAGCATTTAAAAAAAATAAAAATAAAAAATAAAAGTCTTATGGTTTGTCAAAATGTTATTACTGACGATGAGCCTCAGTTGCAGTGAAACAGGGGCTGGGTCCGAATGGCTGAAAGCCTGAGGGGATTGCCCCCCGGGGCTTCGCTTTATAATCGGATTCCCTGTGGTGGAGGGAACGACTCCAGAGTGGGTCTGGGCTAGGGTCGGGAATCGAGGTGTATCCCTTGGTCTCAGACAGACCGCCCTCCATAAAATTATAACAGACCTCGCCTGCCCGCTCACTGAGCGCCTTTAGTGTGTGTGTGGTGCTCTTGGGAGACAGTGGTTACTCTCTCGACTCCCCCATGGTACACTTGCTTAAGTCGCCTGCCTTTAAGACACGCCTTTGAAAGATGCCTAAAATGCATTCTCTTTCCCTCCTGAGCTGACAGCAAGGCATGAACTGCTATCTAACAGAGGATGCAGGATTAAAAGAGAAGGGAATAATTGTGAGAGGCTTCCATAAGTCTTTCAGGGTAGAACCAAAAGGTGAAAGAGCTCCTAGAATTCAATCTTCTCATTTTACAGATGAGGAAATTGAGGCCAGAATCAGGGAAAGTTTGTGGAATGAGAGATCGGCCAGTTGGACCAAGATAACACAACCAGTTCACAGAAGAGCTGGGATGGGAACTCAGACCTTCAAACTTCGGCTCAAATTGTGCTCTGCTTTCCCTTCTTGGAACTGAGAGTATAAATGTCTCATTAAGTGAGAAGCACGGAGGGAAGATCAGAGTGGGATAAGAGAGAAAATGTAGATGTTTCTCTTTGAAACAATTGAAGAAGAACTTGGAAAAAAGCTTTGTTGTTCATGAAAAAAGAAAGGACAAAATTGTTCAGAAATTTATAAAAACATAAGCAGATAGCAAGAGTTTATTCAACAAACTGTAGAATATGAGTGAGGAAAACAAGTGAAGGAAAATCTATATTAGTTAGTCAGCATTCTCTGGAGAAACAGAACCAATAGAAGGCATGGAAGTTGAGAGAGAGAGAAAGAGAAAGAAAGAGGGAGAGAGAGAGATTGATTTAGTATAAAGAATAATGATGGAGGTTCAGTCCAAATCCAGTAGAGCCAACAGCGTACTTCCCGTCCAAGTCTGAAGGACTAGAAAGCAAGAAAGCCAACCGCATACATTCCAGGCTTTCGCACAATCCTCTGCAATCTGAAGAAGGATCAGGCCTTAATTTGGAAACAGTTGTTAAAATGCATCATCCTTCTGCATGTATCTGGTGAGAATGATGCTTAGTCTGATAACCAGAAGCACTGTCTTGTGACCTGGTGTTGCATCTTTTATATTTGCTTTTGTCAATTTAAACAGGAGCTGAAATGTAAAATGCCCAATATGTTTTAATGTTTTTTTAAAGCTATTCAACTTTATTTAGCAATGATTTCCATAAACCAAAATGCCTATTTTAAGTATAAAATTCAATAAGTTTTGATAACTATATATATACACATGCATACACATCAGTAAAATCAATACCATAATAAAAATATAGACTATTTCCATCACCCTAAAAAGTGTCCTCATTTTTTCTTACAGTCACTTCCTCTATTCCTTGTTTCAGACAGCTAATGATTTGCTGTCTGTTCTAATAGATTAGATTTATCAGTCCTTGAACTTCTTATAAAAGGATAGAATATGTATTCTTTTGGATCTAGCTTCTTTTACTTGACATAAAATGCTTTGAGATTTCTCCATGTTGTTGCATGTATTAGTAGAAGCTTATTCCTTTTTATCCGCTAAGTGGTATTCCATTATATGGATATGTCACAATTTGCCACCCAATGATAGATATAGGGCTTTTGTCAGTTTGGGACTATTATGACTTATGTATATGAACTTTGATATACAAGTCTTTGTGTGTTTTCATTTCTCTTGAGATGGGATTATTGAGTCATTTGATAAGTGTATATATAACTTTATAAGAGACTGCCAAATTTTTCTCCAAATTGGTGGTACCATTTTACATTCCCATCAGTACTGTGAGAGCTCTAGTAGCTCCACATTCTTGTTGGCATTTAATGTGGTCTTATTTTTTTTTTAATTTTAGTCTTAATAGAAATGTAGTAAAGTCTCATTTGGTTTTGATTGCTTTTCCTGATGAGTAATGATATCAAACATATTTTTATGTGCTTTTTGGCCATTTATATGTCTTCCTTTGTAAAATGGTATAAAATATTTTGCCATTTTTATTGGGTCATTTTTATTCTTACTAGCAAGTTGTGTTTCTTATATATTCTAGATAAAATCCTTTGTCTGATGTAAAGTATTGCTAGTATTCTCTCCAATCTATGGCTTGAAGTTTAATTTTTTAATAGTGTCTTTTAAAGAAAAGATTTTATCTTGATAAAGCCCAATTTATCATTTTCTTCTTTCATATTTTATGCTTTCTATGTCCAAAAACATCTTTGCCTATCTCAAGTTTGCAAAAAGTTTTCTCTTTGATTTTCCTCTAAAATTGTTATAGTTTTAGATTTTATGGTAAGAACTATGATCCATTTCAAGTAAATTAATGTTTATAATATAAAGTAAGGGTCAATGCTGCTTTTTTCTATATGAATATTCATTAATTCTGCCACCATTTGTCAAAAGACTACCCTTTCCTCATTGAATTTCCTAGATTCCTTTGTCAAAATTAATCAACTATGTACATGGAGTCATTATCTGACTATTTTATTTCATCTGGCCATTTTATTTCGTGAACTATGTTTCCATAACACCACACTATCTTGAATACTGTAGCTTTGTAGTAATACTTGAAATCAGCTAATGTAAGTCTTTCTACTTTGTTTTACATTTCCAAAATTGTTTTGGCTCTTCAAGGTCTTTTAATTTCCATATAAATTTTAGAATGAGCACATCAATTGATATAGAAGAACCTCTAAAATTATAATTGGGACTTCACTGAATCCACAGATCAACTTGAGGGAGAAATGGCATACAATATTGAGTCTTTTAATCCACAAGCATGATATACTATTCCATTTATTTAAGTTATCTTTAATTTCTCTCATCAATGTTTTATAGCTTTCATTGTACAAGTACTGAAAATCCTTTTCTAATTATCCCTAAATATTCATGATTTTATGGTTTTTGTTGCTATGGTAGTGGTATTGTATTTTTTATTTTGTTTTTTTAATTGCTTGCAGCTAGTGTAAAGAAACACAATTGATTTTTCTATATTTATCTTATATCCTGTGATCTTGCTAAATTTATTAATTAGTTCTAATATCTTTTTGTTTAAAGATTATTTAGAACTTTCCATTATACCATTGCAATAGTTTGCTAGGGTTGCCACAACAAAATACCATAGGCTGGATGGGTTAAACAACAAAAAGTTATTTTCTTACAGTTCTGAAGTCTAGAATTCCAGGATCAAGGTGTCAGCAGGACTGGGTTCCCCTGAAGATAACTGGCTTGCAGATGGTCATTTTCTCTCTGGGTGCTCACATGGTCTTTCCCCTATACAAGTGTGCCCATGGTGTCTCTTTGTGTGTCCAAATTTTTTCCTCTCATAAGGACACCAGTCATACTGGATTATCAACAGGGATTCTCCATTCCGATTGCTCAGAACTTGAACATCTTCTAGCCATTCATGACCTTTGGAAACCTTCAGTTTATAACTCCTTCATTACTCTGTGACCAGCAGTGTGGGTTTCTTCCTTTGCAGTCATGGTTAGGCATTCCACAACAGACTCAAGAGAATACCTGTGTGGCCGGGAGCGGTGGCTCATGCCTCTAATCCTAGCACTCTGGAAAGCCTAGGTGGGAGGATTGCTTGAGGTCTGGCGTTCAAGACCAGCCTGAGCAAAAGTGACACCCCTGTATCTACTAACAATAGAAAAACTTAGCCAGGCATGGTGGCATGTGCCTGCAGTCTCAGCTACCGGGGAGGCTGAGGCAGGAGGATTGCTTGAGCCCAGGAGTTTGAGGTTGCTGTGAGCTAGGCTGGTGCCATGGCACTCTAGCTCAGGCAACAGAGTGAGAAACTGTCTCAAAAAAAGGGAGGGAACACCTGTGAAATTTTTGAACTTCTTTTCCTGTACAACTCCCTCCTCTCTAAAATACCCTTGCTTGATAATTCATCTCCTCAGTCTTCCTGAAATCTAGTCTCTGTCTCTGCAATTTAGCAATTTTGCAATGTTCTGCTTGAGATCCCCCTCTTTGAACTAGGTGTGGAAAGTGCCTGCAGTTATAAAGTTGTGCAATCCTACGCTGATTTCACTTGTTTCTCTACTTTCAGGAATCACAGGCCTTTGCTGCCTATCTTCCAACACACAAAACAGTTGCCTCATGTACTTTGTCTAGGTTTTTTAAGGATTTTTTGTGACAAGAAGGGAAATATGGACTCAGTTACTCAAATCATGACCAAAAGCAGACATTTGTCCTGTATGTGTTTTTATTTGCTTACAAAGCACTAACATATTGATTACTTTGATCGGGGGACAAAATAGAAACCTTGGAAAGGTTGAAAGAATTGATTGAATAGAATGAAAATGTTATATATGTCAATGAGTATTGTGTTGTATTATTAGTGGGTTTTTGTTCATTTGATTTAATGAATTGGGGAGGAAGGAATTAGGAAAGACAGAGCCACTGGAAAGCTATTTAACAACAGGGAGGACTATTTTATTAAATATTTTCATATTTTCTGACTTTTCTTTAGGTTACTCCCTGGATCAGGCAGGACAGACAAGATCATTCTATGGTTATAAGTAACATTCCAGTAACAGTTACTTAAAATAACGAAGTTTTATTCTCACTCATTCTGCCCATCCATTATGGGTAGATTATAGCTCTATTCCATATCATCTTCATTTTATTACTCAGCTAAAAGAATAGTGCCCATCTGGGACATAAACAGTTTTACAGCAGAGGCAAAGAGGTATGGCAGATGATGAGATGGCCCTTAAAACTTCTGCATTGAAAATGATATATCTCCCACATTGACCAGAGCAAGTCACATGACCATGCATTACTTCAACAAGCCAGGAATATAAACTCCTTCCCCAGGGAGGGGAACTACAGGGAAGAAACCAAAACATTTTGTGAATATTAATATAACTTTCTGTGCCCCTATACACAGCATCTTATCTTCTGTCTAGGGTTAGCTCCTACCAAGAAGCTAGACAGCATCAGGGAATGCAGCTAAGCATTTAAATGTGGCATCATTCCGAACATAGTCTGCTTAAATCACTACAGCAGCCACTAGCAACGATAAAGGGGGGTCTGTGTCTGCTGATATATGGAGACCTCCAAAATATATTGTTTTGGAGTGAACGAAAGCAAGATACATACTCATGCACGTGGTATAGTTTCACTTATGTAAATAAAAGAGTATTTATGTATATGCATGTGTATACATGGAAATATTTATTCTAAATGAATGCACAGAAAATCAATGCTTCCAAAATAATATGCAAGAAAATGCTTCTCTGGATCAGAACATAGGGGTCTAGATCGGGAGAGATCTTATTGTACACCCTTTTGTACTATTTAAATTTTTTCAAGAATATTCATTATTTTTCCTAATGACTTTTTAAAAATTGCCGCCTTTCATGTACACTGAAGAGTTTAATATCAGTCAACCAATTTTCCCAGCAATGTTTCAGTATGTCATAGAGGGTTGATCACATTGCAGAATGACCATGACAGAGATGAATTTCAGGAAGTCCTTCAGAGTCTCCAGAGATCAACCTAAGGAAAGAAGAAAAATATGAAATGAAGCTTTCTAGTTATTTCTTCAGGTCCTGTTATTGGTGTTGTATTTTCTCATCCCACTCCTACAGAGATGTTTGGTTTATGACATGTTGATTCCAGGAATAATACAGATCTTAATACTTATTTGTGTTAATTCTTCCCTGCCAAGTATTTCTCCCACAAAAACTGCCATTGATGAACTATTGTATCCCCTAATTTGAAGAGGCATTCTGCAATACCTTCCTCCTGATCATGGAACTTGAACATACTTTCCAAAATGCCAAGAGCTAATCCTGTGCATAAACCTTACAATGAACAGACGCTATTTTCTCTAGAATTCCCCACTTCACAGGATTAGAGCTGTAGCCCCTTTACTCAAGAATAAGGTCAACTCCACACTGGAATAATGAACACACCTATGATGAAATCCTAGGATGAATTTTCCTAGGAATCCTAGACATTCTATAAAAAAGACATCTGCATTCAAATGATTATAGCAGAAGTTCTTCTTTATGCTAATCTGTTTATCACTTTTTCACTCATGTATTCCACAAGAGATTGTCTTTTATTAGCAACTGTGCAGCTGAACCACAGTGCATTAATTTTATAAATGAGATGTTGATGTCACTATCACAAATGGTTCAGGGGGAGACGTAGAGTGTGGCATCACCATGGTGAACTGCTGTGATGGGAGCACCCCAGGGGCTGCAGACACAGAGAAACCATTAGAAAGCACTCCTCTAGAGACATGTTGCTGTTTTTTACTCAGCCACTTAAGGAACGGTCAGGGCCACAAAGGCAAGGAAGCAATCACTCTTCTCTGACTATTGCAAAGAATGAGATGGAGTCTCTGGGCTCTCCCACAACCATCTGTGCTGACATAACCTCGAGAAAGGCTTCCCATCTCTCACTGGAAAAATTACATTAGCAAAAGAGAAAAGGCTTTACAAATGCCAGGGTGGTTGGGGGGCAGGATAACATTATTAGCTTGTTTGCTCCCATTTTAAGCTAACGTAGTTTTTGTTTCATCAGTCTGGACAGAAATAAGGTGTGAATTTGGAGTTTGGAGGAAAGTGACTCAAGGGATGGAAGTGGGGACAAGGAGCAACAGAATGACTTCACCTAGAATAAGTTTGCAGCAATAATAGATTTTCTTACAAAGACCTATCCCTCCTTGTGTGTTTGTAATTACCATTCAAAATAATAGAGGTGGATTGTTAATGGGGTAACTAACAAATAGAAAGATATTTATTACAAACCACTAACTTTTTTTCAGCATATTATGGGGGTACAAACGTTAAGGTTACATATATTGCCCTCGTCTCCCCTCCCCCCTTGAGTCAGAGCTTCAAGCATGTCCATCCCCAGACAGTGCGCATCACACTCACTGTGTGTGTACATACCCATCCCCTCCTCCCCCTCCCAGTAACTTTTAATAAAAGATAGTAAAACTATAATAGAAAAGGCTTTTCCATCCACTGTGGGAATTTGCTTTGACATTGCTACTTCTGTGCTTTTAACTTTTGGATTCAGTTTTCTGAGTGGGTTTCTATTTCTTTCATTTATGTTATAACATATATCTTTATATATGTTATAAAATAAAACAGATTTTATGGTTAACATCTGGAAACAAATAAGGTTGACAATACCCAGTTAATGCTACCCTAGCGCCTTCCAGGTACTAATATACTATTAAAGGAAAACCAATTTGCTCAATTAGCAAAGTAAAGCACATATTAGTCAATATTTTAAATGAGCTGCTTCAGGATGACTTCTCAAGGACATGTTAGGCATTAGCCAATTGATATTGCTGACGTCAGCAGTAACCATGGCTTAGATTTACGCAGTTACATACATAGGTTAGGGGAAATTGGTATTGAGTCATTATCAAAGGTTAATTCCAGTAAGAACTGGTTATATTTGATTTATTGCATGACTGCTTAGTGTACCATTCATCTTAGCTAGAAATTTTCTAAATTCATGTTGCTGGTCAAAAGATATTAGAGATAAATAGGCCTAAATTGCAATTACTATTATAAAACAGTAAAAAGCTAGTACATCAGATTTTAACTCAGTTAATTGGTTATATAAATACATGTACACATATTTAGAGATTTACATTTTCTTTAAAAATTTAATTACAGTGAAAAACGTTTTTGGAAATAAAATATATCAGGAAATTGAAATGTTTTTTCTTCTAGGGATCTTTCAGATCTAAATCACTTTTGCTTTTGTTTAGGAACAAAAAACTACTACATTTAATTTGGTTTGTCCTTAAAATCATTGTCTTTCTTATTTTTGAAATATAAATACCTGGAAATGGAAAAGTACATAGGAAAATTTTCCAATTTCAGGGGTGGGGCAAGAGAAACAAAATATCCAGAAAAGTATCTTATTTTTACCAGGTTAATAAAACCTCACAACTTTGTACATAGATTTACATATTTCTAAATGCGAAAATTTTCAAAACTGTCACCTCTTTTTTGACTTGAATATATTTATCCATGTGAATCTAAACACACACACTCATTTATCTTAAAATTCTTATTTCTAATTAAAATCCAAAAGGCTGTAAACATTTCAAACCTAGATCAGGGTGTTCTCATTTATTATTGAAAGAACATGGTGACCTCTAAATACATACATACACATACACCCAGAGACACGCCACAACTCAGACCCAGGGAGATGTTGCAAGCAGTTGTTCAGTTACCATGAGCTGGGAGAGGGACAGCAACCTACTCATAGCCCCAAAAGGTTATTATCCACACAGTAAACTAAACCATGGGCTGGCCAATTGTCCAGAAAGGACAGATTGCAATAAGACCAACCTCAGGCAAGTTTTCTTCTTTGCAATGAGTCTTTTGGCCTCAGAATTCCTTCCTGTGAATGGGAGAGGGTGGTGTAGAGCAGAGCTGGTGGAGGGATCTGTTCACCATGGTCTTCCTCGCCAACTAGAAGTCAGATCTGGGTTAGAAGTCAAACTCGGGGTACCACAAATACACTCATAGAAGTACAGCTCAGAGCAATCAAAACAGTCCTGTCCATTTTTTCACAAAGATCCATTTAAATGTATGTCTCCTGGCCCAAGGGTAAGCTCAATACCACTTGCCCAAAATGTGTGTGATAAATTACCTTATAGACTTTTAGAGGCCTTTGCAATAAGTAGGAAGCAAACCCTGAAAATGCAAAAATTAAGGAAAGGCAATTATTACCTACTATGGGACCATGGCTTGACTTGCCACATACCCTAAAAATCAGTAAGTTAAATTGAACCATCATTTATAATTAGCTTACTACTCTTTGGATACAGGATCAAGAAGACATAGTTGGGCCCAGTATGGTGGCTCACACCTGTAATCCTAGCACTCTGGGAGGCCAAGGTGGGAGGATTGCTTGAGGCAGAGTTTAAGACCAACCTGAGAATGAATGAGACCCTGTCTCTATAAAAGCAATAGAAAAATCAGCCAGGTGTGGTGGCATGCCTATAGTCCCAGCTACTTGGGAGGATTTCTTGAGCCCAGAATTTGGAGGTTACAGTGAGCTATGATGACACCACTGCACTCTAGAGTGGGCAACAGAGCAAGACCCTGTCTCAAAAAAACAAAACAAAACAAAAAGCCAAACATAGTTGAAGTCACTTTTAGTACATAATTATTTCCCAAAAGCACGTGGTCCTGAACTAGTTGCAGTGGACTAGAAGTCGCAGCAAATGCATGACCCACTCTAGAGAGGAAATCGTCTCTCGTTCAGCAAAGCAGCCGTGTGCTCTGTCATGCGCTCACATCACCTGTGAGCCACCCAATGTGCCGGGTAGGATTGTCTTGCTTAGTTGCCAGCTAGAGAAAGGCAATTTAAATTAGCATAAGAAACATTTTAAAAATTAATAAAAAGGAAAGGAAAGAAGAAGGAAGAATGAAAGAAGAGAAAATAAAGGGAGAGGAAGAAAAAGAAGGAAAGAGAATACACTGGCTTAAAGAAGCAAAATGTGGAAAGGGCAGGTATGGCCTGTACCAGAGACCCCAGTGATGCCACCTGTCTTTTTCCTTGTGTCTCTTCTCTCTGCTTCTCTCTTTGTGGGCTGGTTTCTTTCTGACCAGCATTCCCAACAAGGAGGCTGGCCACCTGTAACTTCAGAATTATATCCCCACAATCTCAGAAACCAAAATGTCAAGCTTTGGTTAGAAAAAATCACAGAAGAAAACATGTTTGGCCAGGTTTGTGACAGGTGCCCATGCTGGCATGAATCTCTGTGGCCACAGAGATTCTCACAAGCAGTTAGCAGCTCCCAGAGCAGGGTGTGGGGAGTAGCAGGTCCCAGAGAAGAAGACAGTGCTACATCCAGAAGATAAGGAGGATGCTGTGCATACAAAACGGCAAATGTACACTCCATCCATTCTGTTTGGTCTACCAGATTCTGAAAACACCTAAAAGGATAATGGGAGTCCAGCTCCCAGTGGCTCCAGCTCTCCACTCCTGTGCTCATGCTGAGAACCCTATTTTTAAAAGGGCCTAGACAAATTTTTAATAGTGTCCAGTAGAACGATGGCACTAGAAGGAACTGAAACTTACTATCTTACAAAAAGGAGAACTAAAGGCACCATAGACTACAAACATTGTAAAGTTCTTTCCTGTAGAGAAGGAAGCACATTTGTTCTGTGCTGCCTGCTTCTAGTGGTAAGCAAATGCCTGTAAGAGTCAGACAGGTAACGTAAGGGAGAGAAGCTCACGAGATGTTGAGAAACAACAGTGCGTGAACGGTAATAAATGGCAAGTATCGCTCAGCCCCAAGACGTGGGGATCTAGGCCGCGGGGGCCGTTGGGAGTTGAGAACGGACGTCCCCCTGAAGGAGGCAGTCCCCACCCGGTTCAGTTCATTATTGCCCTGGGGGACGTGGGCGCAATGTGACAAGATCTTTCCTTTTCAAGAAGAGCCAGAAAACCTTATTTTTATGTGAAATCTCTCAATTTCTTCAATGTTGGATCATTATTTTTAAAAACACCACGTGGTCCAGACAAAATACAGTTTTAAAAGGGATCCCCCACAGGGCTCCAGACTGAAATCTCTGCTAGAAGGTAAAACTAGAGCTCGTAGCCCAAAGCTCTTACGAGTCAGGTTTTTAGTCTTTATAATTTATATATTTTTTGATAACTAGAACTCTTCAATCACGATGTAGCAGGTGTTTTGTGAAACAGTAGGAGCACTGTCCCCAGAAGTGTGCAAGTGTTAGTAGAAGCTGAGGACCATCATTAAGGCAGCCCGAGGAGATGCATCCTGTGTTATGTCTACAGATTGACTTTGAAAGTTTTGAAATAAGGTCAGAAAATGTTCTTCTCCGAGAGACATTCTAAAGAAGCTAAAGACAACATGTGAGGACTGTGTAATCTACTTGGGACTTAGACACATTGCTGAAATGGACAGTGAAGAAAGCCAAAACAGCACAATATTTCTAAATATAGGCAAGACCAATGGAAGATAGATATACGTGTCATGTGTTCTGGCAATGGTATAGGATTTTAATGAGCATTTAAAAAAACAAAACAAAAAGTCTTCTTGGCCCCATGGCCATGCTTTAGGATATTTGGCATAAAGGGAGCTTGGTTAGGAGATCAAGTGTCCTGGATCCTTGTTCTCGCTCTGTTATTCATGAGTCACGTGACCACGCACAAGTCACATTCTTCACTTTCCAAACAACTTGAATGATTTACCGTCATCTCAAATTCAGCATTGCTAACATAATATCCCCACTTTCCTTTCTTCTCATGCTCCCTTTCTTGGTTTCCCCATGTCATATTAAGCAGCAAAATTTGACCTCTTCCTAGACTCCAGTGGGCCGTCATTTGCCCACTACCACAAAGGAGGTTTGTGAAATGGCCTCATGAGCAATAAGTTAAAGAGGAAATTTGAGTGTGTAGTGCAGGAAGACAAAGTAAGGAATTTCCACTTGAAATCAAGATAATGAAGTGCCCATAATAAGAAACAAGTCTACAGTTGAGCCACATGCCTTCTAAAAGAACATTCTGGCAATACTGAAACCAAACCGATGCTGAAAAATTCCTCTGCAGACGTCAGGTAAGTTCTTAGACAGGGATCATTCTTTTCCCATTTTTTTCCTGTATGATTTGGGACAAGAGAGAAGATTCCATCTCCTGGTTGTAGCTGTGTCTCTCAAACCTCCATGTAAAGTAAACATTTGTATATCAAATCATATGTATTTATCAAACTCAATTATAGATTCCAACATGCTTCCATAAGGGAAGAGATGTCCACTACCTATATTAAAAAGCAGTTATAAGAATCCTCCCAACATTGCCAATGCATGGCCTGAAAACTTTTAATTTGAAACAACAATAACAACAAAATAGTGACTGCAGAAATATTAACTGAATGGTCAATGTAACCTTAAAATTTGTTTAAATGTAGTATATGTAAAATTTATCTTAAAAATTTACTGCAAAAGTGATTTCCTTTTCTGCTGAAAAATATCAGCACTAAAATGCTTGGTTACTCTGGGAGATTATACTATCACTATCCATATTTTAAAAAACTGCCTGGTTGAGAAGAAAAACAACTTTTCAGACAATTAAGATCATGTAAACAGTTCTTGACAAGCTCTTATTAGTAAAATGTTTCTGTTTTCTCAGTAAGATTTCCCAGCTATTGATGAATGTTATTTGACTAATAACTAGTTAATAATAAGCAATACTTACATTTTAACTAAGAGGCAGTTTAGCAGAGTGGATCTAGACTGTCTAAATTCAAATCCCAGCTCCACCACTTACTGGCTGTTAAGTTTCCAAACTTCTCTATAGTTTCCTCATTTATAAGACAGTAAACCTACATGATAGGGTGTGGTAAGGATTTAATAATTTCATATATAAGACAGCACCTGACGCATAGTTAGCACTTTGTAATTGTGAGCTATTATTATTATTTCTTTCCTTATAGAAGTCCATTCATCCCATAGATGTTTGCTGAACTGCTTCTCCTGACCCATGGAATGCACCAGGCATTCGAATATTTGTAGCATTTTCTAAGCCAGCAGACAGAGGCTGACATTAATGTAGACAGTGCATTCTCCAATGCAAAACCCAACAGTAAGGTGAAAGTAGCTACAAGTTGCCTTAACCTATCTAATTAAATGCATAAATTGGAAACTACGTGGAGCATGCTTCAAAGGGAGGTGGCTCATAATCTGTGAAATTTACAGTTGGATAGTTACCCACTCAGGTAGCTTGTGCCACATCTACATTAAATTTGCATCTGGCATGGATTATTGTATTAGATATGCTTCTAATTTGTGTTTTGGGTTAAGTCCCAGCTCCTGTTGTATGTGGAGAGAGTAACGCATGAGGAGGCCATGTTATCAGAAGGCCGGTGGGACAGAGCCCTGATGGGAGCATGATGTGGCAGCTCTCACATGTCCGTAGCCCAGGCCAGAATCTGCCCTCAGTTATGCACACACAGCTTGCATTGACGTCAGTAAGAACTGTGTTCATGTAACAAGAGGCAGAAATTTGGCGCTTTGATTTTAATATAGTTACGTGCCAAAAGTCTTGCTAATGCAGGTTGCAAATTTGAACCCCAAAGGATCAGGAAAATGCAACAGAATACTGTTCTGTTGGCAATCCCATGTTTTGCACAGGCCACATAATTGAGTACCAAATTTCTCAGCTCTAACTTGGAAGCCCCTAATGCTATCATGCCTTTGTGTTGTGTGTGGCCTCCCATTGCAGAAAGACCTTTAAGTATGATTCCAAGATTTGGTCTGTGGCTTCAGATAAAACCCTAACACATAGTCCTAATTCATTGTCTGTCACAGATTCCATTTCTAGTCTGGGCCTTAACAGCAATGCTGAAATCAGTTGGTGGTACCAAAGAGACTCCACTCCCCACCTTAGATGATTGGTGAATTATGTAATGACATTTAAGGACTTAGCATTCTTATTCAGTCTAAGTTTCAGTATAATTTATGTCCAGACATATCCATAGCTTTGTTTTAATATTTGTGTGGTTTTCAAAATGTAATTTAATTTTATGCAATGATGTTAACAATTGGGATTCCCAGACCTGAGCATCTGGTAATAAGTTTCTGAGTGGTAAAACACAATTCAATAGCAATACTGAGCCAGGCTGATGACCAAAAAACTAAAATGTTTCTGGTTCCTTCAACTAGCTATTTAAAGTTCTATTTCCTGCTTTGGATCCAGAGAAGCAAGATTTCTCTTGAACTGTTTACTTAGAACTTGGGTAGATGGATGCCTAAGTGTGTCTCCCATCAGGCAAGTTCTCTTGCAGATGGCATGACCTAAAAGAGCCCTGTAAGCCACTTGTCACTTCTCCTCTGTCTCCTCTCTAGGAGAGAACTGGAGTACATGGATGGTAAGTTTGGGAGCAAGACAGGAGCATATCTAATGCAGCCCTTTCCTCCTCTTCCCCTCTCTGTGGTGCCTCCCTGACCTGCCTTATCCGTCTCTGCTCCCATGCAATGGGTTTTGCCCCTGAGAAGGCAGGCAGCATTGCTGTGACTGGGGCTGAAGTCTACTTTGTTCAAGAGGCCGGTGTTCATAGATCTGGTATCCCTAGACCGCATTGCCCTGCAGCATCAGGAGCCGCCCAGCTGCTGTCCTCATGTCCACCAGCTCAACATTTTAGTGAGTGGAGGTTGCTGGACCTAGACCTAAGTCAGGACCTAATGTTTGAAATTCACCACCTAAAAACTAATAGTCTGAGAACATTACTTGGAACAAGGAGGCGAATATCAGAAGGGAAAAGGGTTTGAAAATGGTTACCCTTGAAAACCAGATCCAGGGGGGATCCGGTAGGGCAAAAGGCCACTGTCTTCACTCTACTTCAAGGTTCAGGCTTCTTTTGACATTGGGTGAACAATTCATGATTTCACACTTCACTGCCTCATGGAACCAGAACACATCCAAGTCAGGGAGACTTTAATAGATCTTCTTAGCCAGTGTCTTTCAAAATGAGAGTCACAGTTGGTTAGCATGTCATGTAATCAATGTACTGAATTGTGACCAACATTTTTTAATGAAATGAATAGAATAGGATAAAATAAATCACCTCAGAGAGCTTTACAATATCCTGATTCACAATAGAACGTATATTGTCTATTGTGGGTTATAGTAAAACATGTTTGAAATCTATTCCTTTTTTCTGACTTTCTACTTAATCTTCAATCTGTCTTTAATTTCCCTTAACTGTTATACCCACTCCATCCACGAAGCCAAGTGGTTACAAATGAGATTATGCAAATGGTAATTCCTGGGAAATCATTAAGCTCAAACCACATGTAAGGTATTGCCATGATTACTCTTATTATTATCATTATTACTTGAGAAATGTCTGAGCCCGCCAACCTTCAGTTCTGTGTAGCTCATCAATGTGAAAGAGCAGCCACAGTGCCAGCCTCACCCCACAACCACAGTCTTCTAAGGAGCTACCAATGCTGTCTATGTAGGGCTCGGCCCAGATCAATTGGGATTAGAAGAAGAAAAAATTCTGACCTGGTAGCACCTTTAGGCTGTAGGGAAGAGTAGTAGTTATGACAAACCTTGGAGTTACACAGACTGGGATCCAAATGTAGCTCTGCCACTCACTAAGCACACAATTTGAGGGAAATGATTTACTTCTGTGAGTCTCAAAATATCATCATCACCGAAACAACTATAGTTGTTTTAGTTCTGGAAAGACAGAGAAAATTTCTTCTCACTCTTCCTGGAGAACTTGCGGTGCCCCAGAGGAGACAGAAGTCCTGCCTGAGCCTAGTGGGAACAGGGAAGGCAGCAAGCATGACCATGTCCCAGCCAGTGCTTCAGCCATCTGAGCACGGCCTGTGCATGGGCCAGGGAGGCCTACAGCCCTGGGCTCTGCCACCCATGCTCTGTGAGCACCACTGACTCTGCCCTCTAGTTCTAGAGAAGTCTGTCATTTGCAAGACCTTGCGTCTTGCTGTTTCCAGTCTCATCCATTTGACCCATTGGCATTTTGACATTGGGTGCCATCTTGGTGTTCAGGAGCATCTTGTGGGCATTTCTTGCCCTGAATAAAAGAGCCCGGGTCCTGGTGCGTTTGACAGATGCAGGGCATAGGGATAGAAGACTTCAGCTCACATTCTAGTTCTGCCACTTTCTGATGTGACCTTTGCTAAGTCATTTCGTTTCTCTATATCATACTTTCCTTCTTCAATAAGATCAGATGAAACCAAACAGAAAATCCAGAGTCAAAGTGCAGTAAGTAATTATTAGGAATATTTGTACTTCCTAAAATAGAATGATGTTAATGAGAGCAAACCAAATAACTTCTAGTGTTTTTAAGTAACTACTAATAATAATTATAAATACTGTTCTTGTTGATGTTGATCTTTACTATGTATATAAAAAAAGCACCAACCTTTATTTTTCTCACATATACATCTAATCAACTGAAATGACTTCCTTTGACATTTATCACCTTTCAAAATCTGGTTCTACCTACGCTTTTTACTTAATTTCTATCTTTCCTCCTACTCTGCTCATTCTATGCTGTGGCCACACTTGGCTTCTACATTTCCCAAACATGTCTGATGTGTTAATAACTCCATGTTTTTGCTCATGCAAATGTCTTCCTCCCTTTCCTAACTCCACTTGTATGTTCAAGAACAGCTCAGATGTTACCTCATCTGTGCAGGCGGCTCCCAACTCCTTTCCAGGCACACCTTGTTTCCCCACTTCAGGACTCCCACAGTACGTAATCTAACAGATAGTGCATGACACACCCGAGCTCTATATTCTCCCCCACTAGACAGTAACGGGCTTCATATTTGAATCTCCAGCCTTTGCATAGTGCCTGGCACTTAGCCAGCATGTAGTGAATATCTGATGAAAGAACAAAGTTGTCTTGGCTTCTCAGGATGTATAGCCTTTGACGGGGTTATGAAAGAGAGGTTATTCTTTCTCCTTTGGGCAGTAAATCCAATTAGGGGCCCAGCCCTTGGGGAGGTCAGGCAGAGCCTGCACTTGTGACCATCTTGTGAACAGGCTTCAGGCTGAGGAGGCCACCACATTACCAGACATCTTGCAGCAGGTAGGATAGGCTCTGTTTGGGACCAGGATGCATGGTGACCAAGACAAAACCAAACCAAACCCTATTTGGGATGCTGGGAATCTTGGGGTCCAGGTAGACCATGGAGCTCCTACCACAGCTACGGAGTGACCATGAGGAGAGACAGTCAGGTGATCTGGGTCCTTTGAGCCTTTGCCATAACAGTGCAAGATCCACGCTAGGGAGAACTGAGCCATGGTGGAGTCAGATGGTTTCTGATTCCTGCACTGGTTTCTTTGAGCTCTGGTCACTTCAGACAAACATGAACCAATCTGCATGGACTGATGAAGTCTGCAACCCTGGAGGAAAGAGATGAGCACACGTTAAATACCTGGAATAAATGCATAGCAATGTATAACCAAGGACCAAACATTCCAAATGGATAATAGGTTGACTGGTTTATGATTCTACATCTGTATCACACAAAGATAATCTGGGATGGTTTTACAGGCAAGTAGAGAAAACAATTGCTTTTGTTATGGAGCTTCAGGATTATGGAAAGGTCCTTCCCACTATACCAGCCCTATCCTCAAATGCCTCCATTATCACGGTACCTGATCACTTCAGCATTAAAGTCTATCATTCCTTTGCATTACCACATCTTGTTTTTAAATTAATGCCCTTGGAAGGGATAATACATTAATCACAGGATAAGGTAATTTATCAAATTTTTTGAGAGATAGAAGATGGAGCAGAGGATCCTAGAACCTCAGCAGAGGAAAGGCTTGTTGTTAATAGAAGAAGATAACCAAAGGGGAAAAAACAGGGCACCTAAAAGAAACTTTGTCTCCTTCATAACCTCCCAAGGGACTTACCTTAAAATTAATACAGCCCAAGCAGCACCTGTTTTAATAATGTGGCCTTTTTGTCCTAGGCTCTGGTTTAGCTGGCATAGAACAAGGTCCAGAAGAAGGTGCTCCTATCTAAAATTGTTTCACAAATTTACTTAAACCAATTTGACAAATATTTATTGAGTATATACTACATGTTAGGCCCATCAATAAGATCTGGAAATAAATAGCTGGACTAAATCAGTCCCTGCTTTTAAGGAATTCAGAGTATAATGGTGAGACAAATAAATAAACAAGTATCACCTAGTGCCATAGATGCTATGACCAATATAAAATTCAAATTACAGAGGAGGCACCAATGGGCCTGAGGCTTATCCAACATTTTTAAACCTTTTATTTCTTGGCACTAAAAATCTATCATTAAGAAGAGACCTGTATACCTAGACTGCAAAACAAATAAGCCTACCATGATTCTGTCCTTCTATAGAGAGAGTAGATACAAAGGATCGTGTAGTCGGAGAGTTCACCCCACATCTGCAGTAGCCTCCGCGGGACCCAGGAGACGCAGGACCACTGCGGAGCTCAGGCATCTACCTCCCAGCTGCAGCGTGTCACCAGCCTCTCTGGAGGGCCAAGAGGATCAATACGGTAATATGCTAGTGTCTCCAAAGCATGTTACTTCTGAGTGAAAGCTACTTTCTATAAACTATTCATAAAGGATATTTGACTCAAGGCCTTGGAGACGGCGGCCCTTGGGAGCATCCCCAAGCACCAGAATCCCAGACGTTAGAGTGGGCAGGGGCCACGGCCAGTGATGTTCACACTCCAATCCCAACCCATGGCTCGTCTCGACATCAGTTAACTTGGCCACAACATGCAGTTTTTTAATAATGCAGAATAGAACAGGACAGGACAAGAGAGAAACATCAGAGTACACGGTACACAGTAATGTCAGCCATTGTTTTGTGAAGCCTGTCTCCCTCACATCCACGAGTGCAGAGGCCCGCGCGTGCGCCGTGGCGCGTGTGCGTACCGGGTCACCGTGTACAGTGTGGGTGTGACCCACAGTCCGGAAACCACCGCCTTAGCGTGTAGCCCAGCTTCACCGCACAGATGGGAATCCCGAGACCCAGAGAGCGGACACACCCGCCCAGCGTTCTGCAGTTCGTTAACGGCAGAGCTAACCCTAGAGCCGGATTCCCACTCGGGGCCCCTCAGACCCCAGCGCAGCGCGCGGGGCGGCGAGGGCGCTGCAGGCAAAGGGAAGGCGCGGGGCCAGGCGCCCACCCGACGTCGGCTTTCCCCGCAGGCTCGCAGGCGCCTCAGCAGCCGCGCTCCGCCCACAACCGAGTAGAAATATCCGGAATATTTACGGAGTGCGCACTGTGGGCCCCGGCCACGCTAGGTGCTTTACCTCTCAACCCTGTGTGAAGCAGACGGCCTTATCCCCCAATTATTCAGGTGAGGAAACTGAACCTCAGAGAGCTAGGTGCTAGTCCAAGCTCACACGGCGACTCTGGCTGAGCCAAGGCCTGCACTCAAATCTAATTTCAAAGTCACTCCTTTAAACCCTCTCCACCATAACTCTCTTTCCAGAGGCTTCCATGCTTTGACCATGTTTATTTCCATATGTACTTATAAGTTAATTTTATATGTTATGCAAACCAATATGTGTGTGTGTATCTGTCTATATATCTATATAGATAGACATGGAGATAAAGAGAGAGCAATATATAAAATCTCCAACCCTCATTATATTCCACATCCCAATTCTTACACTATGGGATAAAGCTGTAGCATTCCCAAGAGGTAATAACTTACCCAATCAGCTCTACCATTCTCTTATTTTTAGTAACAGGGAAGATACCTACAAAAATTTAGTTAATCAGGGAAATGGGGATCACCTAGGCTTATTTTATATCCACACAGGGCAGCTAGAGAAAGACCAGTATCACACAGAGAAGAACAGAATGATAACATGAGGACTTAATGCCCCCAAATATACTTCTGCTACTCAGTTTTAAAACAGAATTTAATAGCAACCACTTCCATTTTTCCTGCTCACCTGCTTAAAACCGCGGTAAGATTTCCACATCAACCTCAGTGCTTCTGTTGAATTTAGAAGTGGCCTCATAGCCCAGTATTTCAGTTTAGAATCTGGAGGCTGGATACTACCAGTCTTGTTTCAACTGCTTTTTCCCCTCCCACCCTGTCCCCTTTATTGCCTCTCTTGTGTTATTTATACATATCCGACCCTACTCAACTCTGAAATCCTTTGGGGAGCAGGAACTACATTGTATTTCTTTTTGGCCCCAGCTCCTACCACTTGCCTCCCCAGGTCCCCACACAGGCCACTGTGCATGCTCACACTCAATAAATGCTTCTTAGGGTTAAAATAATGAATTCCTGGTGAACCAACCCAACCTAGTCATCTCACTAGGTCTGGCTGTTGGAGTGCAGAACAGACATGTTTATTCCATGAATACTGACCCCAGCCCTGGCCACCCACTTGGCTATTTCTTACCCATGCCTTTATGTCTTTGTGTGCTTTTGTCCAAAACTGGGCTTACAAGGACTGGAGAAATAATGAAAATTTAAAATAATAATAAAAGCTTCCAGGATGTTTAGCACATCGAGGAGTTCTCATAATTTGATTTCTAATATGGTTTAGGACTTTTACTGGAAATTCAACAAGTTGCTTCCCAGATAGATTCTAACTACCTGGCCCTGACTGCCAAGGTCAAAATAAACCCCAGCAGAAAACAGGAGCATGGTCATCAGCTCTTCCAGGAGCCAGGACCCCACAGGAAGAAGGAAGCCTCAGGGGCAGAAATGGAGATTTGGAAGCGCCGGCTTCCTGAATGCTGCCAGAGTTACATCACAGGGGTACGTATGTGATCATGGTTGTAGGGTACACATGTGATTATGGTTGTAGGGTACACATGTGATCATGCAGGCTTTGGTCAAGGTGGCCTTGGCCAGAAACCCAGCCACTGTGAACACTGAGGGCCACATTTTTAGAATTGCTCGTTTTGCTGATTCTTAATGATTACATTGACCCATATTTTCTGAGATATGTTTTTAGATGGTTGATACAAAGTTATGGGTAGCGGTGGTACAGGAGGAGAAATGAAGATTTGTCACCTCTCTCCTCTTTTGAGGGTCTGTGGAGGCCCTTTTGGCCACTTTTTCCTGGTTCTCAATCTCATCTCTCTCACTTTCTCCAGACTTGGTTCTACCTTGAATATTTCCTCTTTCTTCAATCCATTGACTTCCCCCCATGTTAGCTCCTTTCCTTCTACCTATAAACATAACTGAGCTGTCTAATTGCACAGCCTCCTTCTTTAAAAATCCTCAATGGCCCCCAAAGGCCACCTAAACTTTAGGCACATTTTTTTACTCCTCACATTCAAGGCCAACCACAGTCTTGTCCCAGCATATCTCTCCACTCCCATTGCCCACTGCTATCCATGCCTATACAGATACCCAGAATGGACTGTCCACTTGTCCAAAACACACCTGTACTTTGGAAACAAGGAAACAAGATGAGCTCAGAGAGGTAATGGAGAGACACATCATTTAGGGACTAGAAAGCCATTATAAGGACTTTGGGATTTTACTCTGAGTGAGATGAAAATCACTGGGGGAGTTTAAGCAGGGGACTGATGTAGTTTTATAAGGACACTATGACTGCTCTATTAAGACTGAGGTTGTGGTAACAAAAGGGCCAAAAGACTTCTGGTTTCCAGTGTAGTATGTGAGAAGCTTGGAAGTTGTCGCAGTGCTAACAAGTAAAAAGTCGAACAACTTGAAAAATCAACAACTCTTCTTAGACCCATAAAAGAAGTGAAGTCACAGAGCAAACCACTACCCTTTTAATTGGAGAGACCAACAGGCAAGTACAGAGAATCACAGCTTGCCAGAGCAGAACCCTCCATGGAGTCAGTGCTGGGGTAGAAGAACCTGAATTTTAACTGATGAATTGCTGGAGGCTCAATGTGGACAAGTCTGAGAGTTAAAAACTCCAGGAGACCCAGTCACAGAGGCACCCTCACATTTTGTGAGTTTTACCCCCAGGAGATTGTCCTGGCTTTTACAGTGAATATTGGAGAAGAATCCCCTCATGTTTCTAGCAAGGAGAGGGAGGAAAGGACCATTTTGAAATACGGCAGAGTACTCTATTCTTCTTAATAAGGTCTTCCCTCAGGATAAGCTATGTAACAGGAGCCTGCTGGGGTTTTATCAGAGTCTAACTGACCTTGGGGAAGTGGCATAACCAACTTCAGTCAACTTGTGCTTTCTATGTGGCAGAAAGAAAATACTCAACTCTAGCCTTATCTACCACCCTGTCCCACCTAAGGGGGGAGATAAAAACTGAGCAGCACTTGTTAAGTCCACAGTTCAGAGGTACAAGCTCACTAAAAGACTGAGACTACATTACTAAAGGCCTATCTACAGCATTTCATTTTACCCAGTGCATCATGTCCAGCCATCAAGTAAAAATTACAAGACAACCTAAAAGGCAAAAACACAGTAGGAAGAGACAGACCAAGCATCAGAACCAGACTCAGATATGGCATAGATGTTAAAATGATCATACTGGGAATTTAAAACAATGATGATTAATATGCTAAAGGTTCTAATGGATACAGTAGATGACATGAAAGAAGAGATGGGTATTGTAAGCAAAGATGACAATTCCAAGATAAACAAAAATAGGTACTAGAAATCAAGAACACTATAGCAGAAATGTAGAATGCCTTTGATGGGCTTCATAGTAGACTGAACATGGCTGAGAAAAGAATCCCTGAGCTTGAGGATATCTCAATAGAAGTCTTTGAAACTGAAGAGCAAACAGAAAAAAAAAAAAGACTGGAAAAAAAAAAAACTGAATAGAATATCCATGAACTGCAAGACAACTACAAAAATTGTAACATATGTCTAATGGGAATACCAGAAGGAGAAGAAAGAGAGAAAAGAGAAGAAATATTTGAAAGAAAGAATTATGACTGGGAATTTCCACATATTAGTGTCAGAGACCAAATCACAGAGCCAGGAAGCTCAGAGAACACATCATAAATGGCATAAAAACTATGCCTAGGCATACCATAAGCAAACTACAGAAAATCAAAGACAAAGAAAAAGTCTGAAAGAAGCCAGAAGAAAAACAATTTACCTATAGAGGAGCAAAGATAAAAATTGCATCTGGCATGCCCTCAGAAAATATGCACATAAGAGGAGAATGGAGTGAAATATTTAAAGTGTTGAGACAAAAGTGCCAGAGTAGGGAATCGAGTCTGGAGACATAGCCATTGCCCAGGTGGGAGACAGTGGTGGCTTGGACTGGGAAGGCAGTGGTGGATGTGGTCCAGTTCTGGATACATTCTGCATGTAGAACCAACAGAATTTGTTGACAGGTTAAATGTGGACTATGAAAGAAAGAGAACTTGACGTCAGGATTGTGGCCCGAGCAATTGCAAATGTAGAGTTGCCATATACTGAGAGGTAGGTCTCAATGTTGTGCCATTGTCTGAGGACTGGGTTCAGAGGATGGGAAGCCCTCCCCCAGCAGTCCTTGTGGACGGCTGCAGCTTCTGCTCATGTAGTCAAGTCTCTTCACCACTGAAGGTGTCCCTTTCCTGAGACAGACACGCACCCTTCAAAGAGGTCTGGGTCTCAGTGGGGCTGGGGAAGGCTCCTTCCTTGTTCAGTCTCCCTCAGCCTTAAAAGAAGTAGCTGCGTTTTCATTCACTACTTCTTTATCCCTCAGCATCTTCTTTTACTCCTTTTCTCAGTCAATATGCTAGTAAAACAATACACTAACATAAAATAATTCTTTGCATTATTTGTTTTTTCTGTTCAAATCCTTAGTGTGGTTTCTGACTGGGGCCTGACTAATACAGTCAGAGGGAGAGAAGAAAACACCAAAGTAGTAGTCAGTGAAGGACAAAGACAGGTGGGGTGAGGGGGCCTAGAATCCAAAGTGAAGAAAACATCGCAAGAAGGTGGGAGCAATCCAGTGTCAGATGGTCCTGATTACCGTGTTAGAGGGGGACCGAGCGTTGACTATGGCATCAGCAATATGGAGGACATTTGGTGACCCTGAAAGGAACATATTTACCTGCTCAGCATCTTTCCTTCAATTCATGGTATCAATGCCCTGATTTTCCTTAGGATGCCATCCCTCCTTCTCTCTCATTACATGTGGTTTGGGCAGCTTTGATCCCAGAGCTGGGCCTGTGGCCTAAGGCTGGTCAGAGTGCCACACTCCTTTGCTTGCTGTGACTGGCTCAGGGATGAGCACATAACCCAAGTTGTTACAATTCAATTCAAACCCAAGACATTCACCAGAACACCTAGGCAACAGGAGTCATTTTCCCACTGGACATCAAGCTGAGAAGGCAGGCTATAAACCCAGAGATACTGGTAATCATGTTGCCACCAAAAAGGTATACCCGGCCTGAGAATGGAGTCAACACAGGGAAAATAGTGAGGAAAAACCAAAGTCCTATCACATTTGTATGATCCTGGGATCTAGTTGAGCCTAAAGCTTCCCCCGAGCTGTTTAGCTACTTGAGATTATAGATTCCTTTTCCTGCTCATAACATTTGGAATTTAATGTTCTTCCCTTACAACTAAAAGAGTCATGAGCAAATTAGTAACATTCAATTAGTGACTACAGAATGGAAAACAATTGATGAGTTAAGTGACCTGCCCAAAGTCTCTGTGACCAAGCTGAGACTATATGCCAAGTCTCCTACATCAAACCCTCTTTTAATGGAAGCAGCTCCATTCATGGTGACTAGCATTTGCACTATCACCTAGAAACTGCCAGGGTTCAGCTCAGGGAGGAGAAAGACTTAGACTGATCGATTTCAGTACGACTGGAAGATTTTTCTGGATTGTGTTGAATGGTTGTCCTCTATAATGTGAGATTTTGTCATAGTGAAGAAAAGAAAATTTCAAAGTATCAGACTGGTATGACATTGTGATCAAGGGAATTAGTAAAAAAATATTTATTTTGATATTAACAAGGAAATATAGAGAGATAAATTCTTTTTAGAGTATCCATTCTTGTCCAGGGTCAGAGCAATATAAGTCATAGCCTCAATTTTCTTTTTACCCCCAAATGCTATAATTAAAACTGATTTGTCCCTTTCATTAAGTCCGCTGCAGACAATAAGCTAATTTGACTCTGATCACCTCCACCATGGGTGGCTGAGGAAGTCAGCATCTAAGCGAGTCACAAATATATGCTAAAGCACTGTTTGTCTTCTGGAAACCTTGCCCTAGTCACACCAGAAGATGTCCCTGGTTAGATAGAAATTTAGGTAGACAGAGGACTCTGTCTCAAAGCCACCACGTGGCATCACTCCAGAGACCTGTCAAAGCCCCAGGCATAGGAGGACAGCATGATGGCCCTGTTGCCAAAAAGGTGCTTTGTCTGTGTGTGTGCGTGTGTGTGTGTGTGCATGTGTGTGTGTGTTTTAAAATCTCCGTGCTTAAATCAACCAATGAAATATTCATGGGTTCTAAAGTAGTGGGCAAGCTAACAGCTTTCTTATGGGAATATCAATATTCTTGGAGCCAGTCTTAATCCAATATTCAGAAAGCTTTTCTTCCCCCTTCTTCACTGCGGGCTCAGATTTATTTTCAGAAACCCTCCACCCTTTCACAATCCCACTCCATTAACAGGGTGGGTGGTGGCAGGTGGGCCAAGGGCAGAGTGAAGTGCAGAAGAAGCCACCATGGGTGAGGTGCAGCTGGAGGAGAGGGGTGCTCTCCTGGATGCGGTCACAGGTACGTCCAGGAGAGACGTGCCGTGTGGCTGCTCTGGGAAGCTGGAGAATGTGCAGTCGGGTGACTGGCTTCATGTTTGAGTCTGGTCTGGTCTGTGATTCCAGGTGTGTAGTAGGATTTTCCTTCCTGGCAAGAGCCTGAGGGAGGGGTGGCAAGAGGGGGAAGGGGAGGTCCTAACCAGTGTCATGGAAGGAAATTACTGCTGGAGAAGAAAATATTTTCCTTCATCCATTCTCTGTGGGGTTTGGGTGCCCGTCGTGAGTGCAGAAAGGGGTACAGCATGAGGGCCTGTAAAGGCAGACTTCAATAGCAGACAGCTCCAGTGCTGCCTCAATTCCCCTGCCTGTCCCCTGACCCACCTGGCCCCTCCCGCTTCCCACCTCCACTCTCCACCACCTACATGCCTGTTCTTAAGGTGGGGTGGAATTCTACACTCTCCCTTCCCGTCCTAGCCTCTCAGTTCAGACTGCCAAAAATGGGGCCAGTCAGGTTGGTGGTTTCCTGCTGTGGGTACCTGTCCCTCAGGACTGGAGTAAGGCCTGCCAACTCGCTCCAGTCTGCTGCCCAGAAGCCATGGAGCGAGCGGCCTCTGCCCGGGGCTGGTCTGTGTTGCTGAGACTCGTCCAGCACTGCCCTTTCGGGTGCCCCGGAGCTGGGGAGGCAGAGAGACTTCTTGGAGACGGCTGCACAGAGCGGTTCTGCCAAGCCACGCTGGGCACGAGGAGGCCCAGTTACGGGTCGGGGAGTAGGCGTGGGCTGCGGGCGTGGGGGGGGGGGCTGCTCTCCGCGCCCTCCCCCAGCGGGCCGCCCCCAGCGCAGCCTGCGAGCGCCGAGTCCGTCAGAGCTGTCAGGCAGATGGAAACGCTGCTCCTTGGCCAGGGGGAGGTGGAGAGGGGCCCCTAGCTACCAGAAAGTCCCTGTGTATTTCTCATCTGCAAGCTAAATCTTCAAATGCAGGCTTGGGAAAATAAACTTTTTAAAAACTTTCTGTGCTTTAAGATTGATGTACTATAAATTTGGGGAATACAGCAATGACAGTCGATGTGTCAAATCAGGTTATTGTATTAATATTTTATCTTAATGCTGATGCTTTCTGAACGCAGTGCTTGGAGAAGAGAATTGCCTAAATCTATTGTAGAAAACAAGGCATTGGGACTCTCTAGAAGTTTCGACCTTACTAGGTACTGAATAACGTAGGTCGACTAACAATAAAAAGAAAAGCACAACGAACGAAGAGACCATGAAAGGACACTCCTTTAGTCCTCTCATTTCTCTAGGCTAGCCCACCCTAAAATTACTCAGCAAACACCTGCGGGACTCCGCGAGGGCCGCGAATCCTGCAGGCCTCAGGCCCCACGGCCTCCGCGGAGCGCTTCCTCCCTCGGAGGCCGGCCCTGGGCCGGGGGCGCGGCGCTTGGGACGCTGGCTTCCTGCCCTGGTGTGCAGGGTCTGCCATCCAGGCGTCTCCGCAACAGCAAAGACCAAGGAAGAATCACCTCTTCCCTTATATGCCCTTGTGAGTCCTTAAGAGACGCCAGTCCACCACCCATCCACCAAAAACCTCCGCAAGAAAATCCCACAGCCAAAAACCGGCTGAGAGTGACGGAGACGGTGCGAACGCCACCCTGTACCCTGGGTCGGATGGAGACCTGCGAATTGCCCTGGGTCGGATAGAGACGTGCGAATGCCGCTGTCCTGTACCCTGGGTCGGATGGAGACGTGCGAACGCCGCTGTCCTGTACCCTGGGTCGGATGGAGACGTGCGAATGCCGCTGTCCTGTACCCTGGGTCGGATGGAGACGTGCGGATGCCCCTGTCCTGTACCCTGGGTCGGATGGAGACGCGCGAATGCCCCTGTCCTGTACCCTGGGTCGGATGGAGACGTGCGGATGCCCCTGTCCTGTACCCTGGGTCGGATGGAGACGCGCGAATGCCCCTGCCCTGTACCCTGGGTCGGATGGAGACGCGCGAATGCCCCTGTCCTGTACCCTGGGTCGGATGGAGACGCGCGAACGCCCCTGTCCTGTACCCTGGGTCGGATGGAGACGTGCGGATGCCGCTGTCCTGTACCCTGGGTCGGATGGAGACGCGCGGATGCCCCTGTCCTGTACCCTGGGTCGGATGGAGACGTGCGAACGCCCCTGTCCTGTCCCCTTGGTCGGATGGAGACGTGCGGATGCCGCTGTCCTGTACCCTGGGTCGGATGGAGACGTGCGAACGCTGCTGCCCTGTACCCTGGGTCGGATGGAGACGTGCGAACGCCCCTGTCCTGTCCCCTTGGTCGGATGGAGACGTGCGGATGCCCCTGTCCTGTACCCCGGGTCGGATGGAGACGTGCGAACGCTGCTGCCCTGTACCCTGGGTCGGATGGAGACGTGCGGATGCCCCTGTCCTGTACCCTGTGTCCAACTCTGGGCTGCGATTAACGACCTCGCTGCGTGACCTCAGGAACATTATTTCAGCTCTGGCTGCCTTCGTTGCCTCATCTTCGAAGTGGAGACAGTAATGGTGTGTGTCCCTCAGGTAGCTGTGATAAATAATGAGTCAATACACACAGTAACTGTTTAGGCGTGTTAACTACGATTGATACTATTAAAAATATAATGTCAATATCGTTAGTATTATTGGTGGCTCCAAGATGTCTGTGGAGGGGTGTTCTTGCCGAGTCCCGCAGAGGCTGAAGCCTGCCCGCAAGGCACCGGTAAGTCGGTCTTGTCCCGCCAACGCGGTCCAGCTCCACCAAGGGGCATCAGAGTTGGACTCCTGTGACATAAGCAGGGACTGTGACATAAGCATGCGCTATATAATGTGACATAAACATAAAACTGTAGTGGGCCCCTCACCCCAGGCCAGCTGCAGAGCCCATCGGGGACTGCGAATCTGCCCCTGGCCTTTGAGCCCGGGCGGCGAGCCGAGCGTGGAGCACCGTCCAGCCTGGCTGGCCACTCTGTCTGCCTGACCAGTGGTCAGGAATGCCGTGGCCCGATGCCAGGGGCTAGCATGAGGGTCCTGTCTGCACATCTCAAACCCAACTGAGGTAAAAAAGAGTCCACTGAACTCACATCCAGGATCCGATGTTGACACAAGTAACTGCCACGAAGCTGCGACTGTTGTCTGTGACGCGCCCACCAAACACTTCATGTCCTTTCATGTGACCCTCTGACATTCCTAGGGGTAGGTAGACCCTATTTTCTCCCCATTTTACTGATGAGGCAACTGAAACTCAGAGAGGTCAAGTAACTTGCCAGAGGGCACACAGCTGACAAGGGGCAAGACCCAGGAACCAGATTGAGGTTTATTTGACTCCTCCTGAGTCTGTGATCTGAACATTTATCCGTTACTCCTAGTTCCTTCACGTCATTTTTCAAAGGAATCTACCATATAGAATATATTCCTTTGCAATGGTTTTGTGAAGTTAATGTGGATTCTTAGCAAAGATTACTCGGGTTCTTCTTGTTGAAAAGTAAATGCCTTTGATGGGTCATGCCCTGTAATCTGGCATGTGCTTCTTCCTTTACATTCTTTTCAATATCAGAAGCCACTCAAATATTCTGCTATAGATCCTACCCCAGGCAATCATGCCAGCAGTTTCTAGATATGTTTTATTAGGCATTTCCATATGCTGTGACAATCATTTAATCAATCAACACAATTGTTTCAAATCATGAGTTAGGCTTCCTTGGTGGGTCATAAAAATAATTTTCTACGTCTAAGTCAGCATTTTTTTATGAAACAGAATAGTACAGATTAGAGAATGAAGTATACCTCATGCAGTAAGAGTAAGTAGTATTACATGAAGCTTTTTTTAGTTATATGTGTGTAATAATGGATCACAATACAAAACACATTTTTTTACTGTGGATCGCATATAAAACTGCTTGAAGCCATGGCTTCACAGCGCTGTCCTCACATCCTTCCGCCTCCTCAGCCCTCGGAGGGCTGTCTCAGCATGCACTCAGGTCACGGGGAGCGGGTGCAATGGTCACAATCCTGAGAGGGGTGAGTGGGAGGTAGATTTTGGTGGCAGAAATAAAGGAATCAAAAGCTGTCTTTCTCCTGCTCCTCTTCCTGAGAGCAGTTAGATGGGATGAGAGGGCTTGTTCTCGAAGCTGCCTTTGAAAGACTAAACAGGAAGGGGAAGTGCCCGGAAAACACAGAGATTGCTCAAGAATGACTATGGCCTATATAAAAGATTTTGTCAAAACATTTGAAGAGTTTGCCTCACCAACATGACATCAGGGCCATGAACACCTGACTCCAGCTTTTTCCAGACAAATATCCAAGTACCAACAGAGGCACAAGAGACCATTGGTTTCAAACTGGCTTCCCATCAGAATCCTTTCTAAAATTGCAAATTCCAGGGCTTCCACCTTATACATAGAGAATCATAACCTCCAGAGAAGGACCCAGGAATCTGTAATTGTTGAAATCTTTCCATATGATGCTGATAAAGTCATCCTAGCCATGGTTCCCAAACTGGCAGTTGAACCAAGAGACCAAGGGAAATGGGAAATGTCCCTTGAAGGGAGGGTCCAAACTGCTAACTTGGTAGTGTAGCGTATCCATGGGAACAAATCTAGAGCAATCATGCTAGAGGGCAGGAGCTCCTGAGTCCAGGCAGGAGTGAGGGACAGGTCGGCCCTCACAAGGGAGGATGCCTAGAGCTCCACTTAGGGCCATGCGTGTGGGAGCCCAGCTCGCTGGCTCTGAGTGGCTAGAATAGCAGCCCACATGCAGCTCCATTTCCAGATGGTCTGAAGGGGCCTGAGGCTCCAGGTGTCTGTTTTGACCATTCCAGAGCTCCTGGATCCCACATGTTAGTTTTGGCAAGGGTTAAGGATGCTTTGATTTCTAGGAGTTCTTTGTCACAGACACCATATTCCATCCAATGGAAGTTACTGGAAGAAATCAAGGAATAAGGTTGAGGATTAAGCCCTACGGCAGAAAAACTGTTCTCTGTCTTTCTTCAACACAAGATCTCTAAAAGCCCTGGCTACCAAAGTCAAGAGTATGGCAAACTCCTTCTAAGGGCTATCGTCAATTCTGAAAGGCCTACATCTCAGGCTTAGATGAGGAATAGAATTTCCTAGTGGTAGTCTATTCTCCCCAAGGTAGACATATATTTCTTTTCACATGCATTAAGCACTGTATATGTGGAAGGTCTGAAATTGAAGAGAGCAAGAGATAGGACTTCTTCCTGATTAGTAGCACATGCCCATTTGGGCTAGTCTGAGCACAAAAGCTACATGATGCCAGTAAATTGTCCCCATATAGAAATTCAGAATATACAAGGCTATTCCATAAAAATCAGATATTGAAATTCATCTGAACCTTTTATACTTTTCCAGTTTTCATCTTTTATACCTAACTGGTGGCTCTGGTTTTCTAATTTGTTGCCATTGGAATTAGAATGTCTGATACTTCCCTGCCACAGCTATAAGTAACTACAATAACCACCCTGATTATCCACCCCAAATGTCCTCCTCAGACAAAGTCAGTGGTCTCCATGCTTCCCTGCTACTGACCTGGCCCACCCAGATTCCATCTCTGTCATTGTCCCATCACAGTGAAGCAAGTTGCCTGGAGGCAGGACCAAAAATGGCAGTAGCCATGTTTTCTTTATCATGGTGGGGACAAGAGCTTCAACTCTTGGATTCTCAGGACCCAGGCATGGCAGAGAACAAATTATACTCAGTCAACAATACACTTTGGAAACACCCTGTGTGCCAGGCATTATTCTAGGTGCAAGGTCTCTGTTCTCATGGAATGTACATTCTAGACATGAAACACAAAGTGCTTCCTGACATTTTTGAACCACATTTTACATTACTAAGGGACTCAGACATTAGAATAGTGTCAGGACTGAGACTGAGCTCTTCTTGAGACTGTATTTTTAATAGTTTCTCTTATGTAACTCTTTCAAAAGGATGTTGTCATGATGATCAGAAAATATATCAGGGAGTATGAGAAATGATCAGAGCTTTATAAAATAGTCCTTGCTCCAAAATTTACAAAAGTCCTTAAAATCACAGCACCAAATAACTACAATAACCCAGAAAATCCAATACCCTACTAATATTGAAAAATTGTACACTGCTTGCAAGCTTGGTAATCACTCTCGGTTTCTGTTTCCCATTCCCATTATAGGTACCAGTTAGCTGCCTCAATGGAGGCAATTTAGCTCCTTCCCTTTTAACATTTTACCACTCCAAATTTTCAGACTTTCCAAATTAAATGGACAAATGGCCATGACTCTTTCCCTCCTCTCTAAACCACTTCCTTCTCCTGTCCTCCAAAACTCAAAGCAGAAGAGCACACTAAAATTGCTAATCTCTATTAAAAGGAATATAAGGTATTAGGTTGCTTTCTTGGCCAGCCAAGATATTACTGAATGACCTTTTTCAAACATTTAACTTGTCTGGTGGGATTTTTAGAAAGTAAATATGTCTGGCAAAATTTTTTCCCAGTTCCCATCCTGGAGAACTTCATAAGGACAGGAACTTCTCCAGCCAGGGTTATTCCCAGGTATCAGGAGGACAAGATTCTCGCTGCTCGCTGAGAGAGAGCACCATCTCTCCCCAGTGTAGGCCTTCCTCCTGTAAGGATGCACTGAGGCCAGTAACAACCGGGGCTAGGCCAAGGGCAGAGAATCTGAGCTTTTCCTTCTCAGCAACACTCCATTAAAAACTCCTCACCTGTACTAAGCTTTTGGTTATTTGTGAGCCAAGTCATACGCACACACACATACGTAATCCTTCATTCATTCGACAAATATTTGTTGAGCACCTACTCTGTGCCAGCCCAGAGCTAGTGACAATGTGGCCTTCTTGCCACAGGAAACCTATTGCACATGTTTTAGAAGAGCCACGTGCCCAGTAGCGACAGTTTCACAGCACGGCTTTTATGTGCTGTGTTTACTGCATAAATTCATTCTGTGTTAATTGCCAACATTGAAAACATGGAAAATACAGAAAAGTAGAAGAAAAAGAAATTTCTATTAATAAATAGACTACATTTACAGTTATATTTACTTCCCATTTATTTTCCGTAGTTTTTATTTTAGTTGTTTAAAAAAGATGTGCTCATACTACACATACAATTTCTGTCTTTCTTATTTGCTTAACTTATCAACATGACATGAGTTTTCCAAGTGCAAAATCATTTACCTTGTCTGTGCTGAAGACACAGCCATGATCCGTCAGAGCGTAGAACCTATGGCTTCTCCTTTCACAGCTCAGCTTTGAAAGCTATCATATTTTCTGATAGCAGCTTCCTCACATTTTTATACTACACAAATTTAAAGAGTTGGCAATTTTAGCTTTCAAATGAAGCAATATAACAATTATGGAACTTGTAGTAAGTGCACGAGTCGGGGACAGGAACTAGATGTCCTTCCAGCCCCTATTCTTCTGCTGGCATCCCTTCTAATTCCACTGGGCACCACCATTTCCTGCTGGCCTCTGTAGTCTCCTGGTGGTCACCACCATCATGCCCACAATGTCTTAGAAAGTGTGGCAGAGACCAAGGAAATCACCAAAGATTCCAGCTCCTTTCCCACATTTCCTAGCCCTCTTGCAGTTAGTTGGCCAATGTGTGGCTACTGCTGGGTAGCTAATGAGCTGTGTCACTTCCGGACCAGAACACAGAAGAGCCAACATGGAACCCTCCAGCAATCCCTCCCTCTGACCAAGAAGGGCATATGCTCCAGATGGTACAACTACAAAATAGTAGAGCCTTCATCAGTCTGGTTCCCCCATGACTGAGGTAATGAAGTCCCCACCAACCTACACTGGACAGATAGAGTAGGCAAGAAATAAACCACTGTGGCACTAAGCCACTAGGATTTGGTGCTTGATTGTTACTGCATTATCACATGGCCTATCCTTATTACCAGACACAATTTTAGAGAAATCATTTAAAAGAATGAACTAACATATTTTTATCTATGGCCAACCCCTCTATGCAAATCAGACATGAGGTCAATAGGAGTAACATACATTTTGCTGTTCTCAGAATTGCCCTGATGGATTCACCCCAGTAAATACCACATGCAAACAGCTTTCTAGCCACCTGTCCCAACAATTCATCAAATGTCAGGGGTGTATGGTGGATCCAGGTTAGGCTCACTGGATGGTTCACCTACTTACCACCCTGATCCTAAGCATGCTACTTATTCAGAAGTGGGAAAACACAATGAGATTAGAAAATGAGCAAAAGACCTGAACAGACACACCTCACCAAAGAATATAATAGAGGTGGCAAGTAAGCATATGAAAAGATGCTTAACATCATATGTCATTAAAGAATTACAAATTAAAACATCAGTGAGATACCACTACTCACCTACAACAATGACCAAAATCCAAAACACTGAAGACACCAAATTCTGACAAGGATTTGAAGCAACAGGAACACTCAGTCATTGCTGGTAAGAATGCAAAATGATACAGCCACTTTGGAAAACACTTTGGCAGTTCCTTATAAAATTAAACATGCTCTTACCATATGACCCAGCAATCACGGTTCTTGGTACTTACCCAAGTGCATGGAAAGCTTATGTCCATACAAAAACCAGCACACAGATGTTTACAGCAGCTTTAGTCACAGTTGCTGAAACTTGGCAGCAACCAAGATGTCCTTCAGTAACTGAATGAATAAATAAACTAGGATACCTCCAGACAATGGAATACCATTCAACACTGAAAAGAAATGAACTCTCTATCAGGCCATGAAAAGACATAGAGGACACTTAAGTGCATATTACTAAGTAAAAGAAGCCAATCTGAAAAGGCCACATTTGTATGATCCCAACTATCAATACACCACATTCAAAAAAGGCAAAACTATAGGTAGAGTAAAAAGATCAGTTCTTACCAAGGGCTAGGGGGATAGAGGTACAAATAGGTGGATCATAGAGGGATTTTAGGGCAATAAAACTATTCAGAAGGATATTGTAATTGTGGATACATGTCATTATACATTTGTCAAAACCCATAGAGTGTACAACAATAAGAAATATAAACTATGGACTTCAGGTGATAATGATTTATCAGTATAGGCTCACCAATTGTACAAATGTTCCACCCTGGTGTGAGATGCTGACAGTGGAGGAGGCCACGTGTATGTGGGGGCTGAGGGTAAATGGGAAATCTCTGTACCTTCTGCTCAGTTCTGCTGTGAACCTAAAACTGTTCTAGAAAATAAAGCCTATTTAAAAAAATTAAAATTAAAATTACCAAAAAAGAGGCAAATACAGAGAACAAATGAAAAAATGTAACTCAGTGATCATACTGGTAGTAAGTACTAATATTAATGTTCTGAACCTGTTGTATTAATAAAAACTTACAGTGCAAAATTTGTATAGGAGATAATCAAAATGAACTCATGAGATATTTCATTTCTAAAAACATATACATATTTCCTAGCTTCATACACTGAAAATACCTAGAAACACTGATCAACACTGTCATAATGAACATGCTTTATGCCTAGACTGAGATTTCTAAGTACCATTTCCCATTTAAAGAAACCAGGGATTTTTGAAGAAATGGAAGATTTCAGGTCTGAGGCAGGAACTATATAAGATGAGCCTGGAATACCTTGTCAAGGAATCTATCAAAGACTACGAGGGTCATGTCAAAAGGATTCAAGTGCCAAAGAAAGAGGCATTCATTGGCCAAAGATGGAACAAATTGAACTGCGTGAGGGTAAGGATTACAATGGCTTGAAACCCATCAAATATTTTGAATACATGCAGGGATACATAGATATGTGAGTTCATGCTAATTAAGATAAAAATTAATCTTTGGAGAATGATAGGAAACATTCATTATCTTGAAAACTATTTAATAAAAGGAAAGAATCAAGCATTTACTTGCCTTTCCTATATGAATTGTACCTCTGATCAAATAATAGATGAAGAGAAGTATCTTTTTATAGAAATATTCCAACTAGTGAATGAAAAAGAAACAACACAATTATAACATTCTGCATCCCACACTAAATTAATGGATCTAAGCATTGTGCATCTACTGCCAAAGTCACAAGAGAGGCAGCCAGACATATGGACTTCCTGCTGTACATGGTCTTGCCAAAGAGAGAGACCTTGAGTTTCATCAAGCCTCAAACCCAGCTGCCAGTTTGCAGGAACTACAGACGATGAAGGAACATGTTGAACCACATCGGGGTATGCGACCAGCAACACCCACGGTACAGGAACTCTCCGGGGCAAACGCCCAGCGTCCTTCAACAGATAAATCATTTGAAACTGTACTGGAAAGAGGGGGAAACCGTAGGTTTAAAGAGGTTTAAATCATATAGCAAAGATTTTTAAATGGACAAAACTATAGTGTTCAGAGATGCTACTTGGGTGGTAAAACCACAAAAAAATAATGGCAGAAGTGGCTTTTGTGGAAGTCAGTCTAGTGCTTACTGTCGTGGCGCGGGTGGCCGCTGTGGCCAGGACGCAGCGCGTAGAGGGCTTCCGCCCCGGCTGGCGGGTCCCGCTTGTCCGTCTGCATGGTGCTCGGCAGGGCGCTCACCTCGCGACAACCCGTTCAGCTCTGCGTTTGTTTGGTTTGGTTTTCCTTATTTGCATTTTGTTTTATTTTATAATTTTTAAAAGACTTTAAAACTTAAAAACATACACACACAGTGAGTTGGGGGGTGTCTGGAGAAGGCTTTGCAGAAGTAGTATAGACTGAACTGCATCTCAAGAGACAGGGCAAATTGGAGTTGGGAATGAAATTTTTTTAATATTTAGTTGTATTTATTTTTTTATTTCAGGAAATTAAGAGAGTGCAAACATTCTGCTTGAGCCCCTTATCCAAAGTGAGGCGACACGAGATCGGAAGAATGGGCTGCACGTGTACTCACCATCAAGTTGGTACTGACTGATTAACACTGTGGTGCTCACATGGTGGTAGTGTTCTCCAGGGATTAGGGGGTTGGGAGGTAGACTCACAACTGGGGAAATGAAAATTTAATTGGCTTAGAGGGACAGCCGTCTCTTCAAACCCTGCTTGAGCTACTCATCCTCATGGTGGCAGCACCTCTAATCCCTTGGACCCCGAGCCGTCACGCTCAGACTCCGCCATAATCCCCTTCACTGAGCTTTGCTGTTCTGTCACTGCCCCACATGGGTTCTTGTTGTGCCAAGTAGGAAACATCACCCTTCCCATGTCCTTCTTGACTTAAGGCATAAATCCTGCCCGGAGAGGCACATCACAAGCTGTCATCGACTGTCTGTAAAAGCTGGGGAGACAAACTCCGGGCCACAGAACCAGCAGCCCTCACATTCGGAGGGTGCCATCGACATGAGAGCCACTGGGTCTGGGGACCCAGCCATGGGGCCAGTTCTTGCTCTCTTTCGAACCAAAACTAAAAACATAAAAATAAAACAATAAAAAAAATCCACTGACCCAAAGCAGTGGTCCCCAGATTAGAAACTAGATCCAGCCCGATTAGAGGAGACGCCACTTGGAGAAGGCTGGCGCAAAGCTGATAAGCACAAAGTATTCTTGGAATTGTTGTGTTTTTCTTTAAATGATGGTGTTTTTATTTCACATTTTTGTTGCTTCTTTTCCGTTTTCATTGGGGGTTGAATATTTCTCTGAATTTTCTTTTTTGTTGCCTTCAGGGACATGGAGTCTTTCTTCAGGAAAGTGCTCTTTTCTCAATTTACTTCTATTTTCCTTTTCTAAGAGTGTTCCATGGAGCCTAGACTCATTCTTACTACCTACTGGACTGGTCTTTCCTCTCTCCTGGACCTAGAATGCGTCCCTCCGATTTGCCCTTCTAGCTTTCAGGTCTGGAAAAGGAAGGTGAAAAATATGAATGGATGTGGAGGCACTTTAACCATGAAACTAAAGAAAGGAGCTGATTTCTGTAGTCATCCATTGAGGGGAGGACACAGTTGAGCATTCTTACCTCTTATTCAATGTAGCTTCTGGTAAGCAGAGAAAATAGCCAGAAATAGATGCCCACCTGGGGCAAAATAAGAAGTCAGCCAAAGCTGTGTATTCCCAGTGTCCAGAGCCTCTCGCTTAACCCCGTGGTCATCCGAGTAAGCCCTCCAGCGCCCTCCCTCGCCTCCTCCGCTGAGACTCAGGGCCTTCCCACTGGTGCTGGAAGCAGGTGATCCTCATTTACATATCAGTGTGGATTTCAGTTAGTATTGGTGCTGGGGGATTTAACTAAACACACAGTTGTGTTTCCTGTTAGAGAAACTTCATCATGTTCTCTAGAGAGTGTTTTGGAGGGCAAAGTCGTTTCCTTGAGCCCATAAAAATTTCTATGAAATTGGCAGCTGCCTCTGCAGTGGCTGTAAGGAGTATCAATGAAGAATGGAAGTAACTTCAGAGCAAGCAAGGAGTGCTGTGAGCTGCATGTTTGCAGCCCCGGAATGCACATTGAGGGCTGTGGGGGTTTCTGACGCATCCCAGGACTGCACATGCTCTGGCCCTTTTGAGGATGTGTGACGTGTCCTGGGCCCTCCTGCACCTAGGAAGTGAGAGCAGAAAAGCAGTATAGGACCGCTGGCCCGATGGGTGTTATCACAGGCAGTCACTTGGGCCATTCCCAAGAAATAACCATAGTCGGGTTTCTCTTCCTTTTCTAGTGGGAGCTGTTCTCCCGGGCTGGATGGAAAGAAGGTAACTGCTAAGGCAACCTGAAAGGCAGCACTTCCCGAGGTGCCACCCACAGGAGCAGCTCCTCCCAAAAGCCGCGCTCCCCACTTCTTCCTGCCATGCTGCTGTCCTGGGCCATTGTCCTTGCGTGGCTCACCGTGTTAGTAGGGACTAACGTGGTGTGTGTGTTATAGCACATGCCTGATAGCCTGCCCAGAGCCTTCCCACTGCCACTAACAGAAACAAAAAAGAAAGCAAAAGCAAGTGAGAGGAGAAGGGATAGCAAAGAAAGCAGAAACCGTTTTTCTGTAGGAAAGTACTTTTTCAACAGTTAGGCTTAAGAGAAAGCCACAAACAGTTAAGGAAAGGGAAGCATTTTCTGATCAAAAAGACCTGCTCTTATCAAGGAAATAGAAGCAGAAATAAACATTAGTCTCTGAAACCAACACTGTCTCTTCCATGTTTCTTTGCCACCAGGAGAGCTACTGTGTATATATGCGCATTGGAAGTATGTAGAGGCAGGATTGTATAGTGGTTAGAAACAGTTTCAAGTCAGAAAAGCTGCACTTGAATCCTGATTGTCCCACCTACCAGCTATTACAAATTATGGACATCTCTAGCTCTCACTTCAAGCATCCCGAATATTGAACAATAATTATTCCTACCTTATGAGCTGTTGTGTTTAATGAGATAATGCATTTTAATTGCCAAACACAGTGACTGACAGGTAGTATATGTTCCATAAATGTAGTATTGTTATTGTTATTTATTCAAGTAAAGCTTCCTAAAGGATGTATCAGAGTGCCCATGAAGGGCAAAGAGAGTTCTCAGCAGGGGATCAATATTCTTCATATATTCCTCCTTCAGGAACTTTTCCTCTTGAGAAAAGACCCACCTGGAAGCAGGAGGGAAGAAGGGAAGCAGGCACCTTAGTGACCAAGTCAACCCTTGTGGACAATGGGCTGGCAGCTTTTAGAATCAGTGCGCACTTTTGCCTGAAAGATGAAGGGCAGAGGCACGGGAGAACACAGAAAGAGCCCTATGAAGACGATGCTGCACCCACACCTGCCTCTGGAGCCCCGATTCTACCCATGCCACTTCACAGGCAAGAGGACTGGAGCTGGACTAGGTGAGCAAACCTCACAACCACACTTCTCCAAGTGCTCGGCCAGGGCGCATACGCCTAGAAGGGTGTCCACAAAGAGCGAGAATTCAGTCCGTTGATTGATGTGACCGCCTTCTAAACTGACACCCCTCCCTAGCTCTGGGCAGGCCTAAAAGCCATGTGGACTGAGAAGCAGATGTGTTTTTCCTGGTGCCAGCGAAACATTCAAGTGCTCTTCCTGCAACAACAAAGCCCCTGGGTACAACGGAAAACTCAGTCTGAAGCTCTCCCTTACAGGGTATTTTGAGGGAGGAAAGTGATGGACCAGAGACATCCAGGATGGAAGGATCTCAGAGGCCTGAGTTAAACATCACATTCTTTTCTGGTACTTTCTCAGATTTTCCAAATGTGAACTCAGCAAAATTAGTTTCAAAGCTACTTGAATCCACAAACCTTGAGATAAACAGAGTTTCTGGGTGATGCTTCCTCTGCATTGTCCTTGTCTGCTGCGTGCTGCCCACTTCACAACAGTCAGCCTTGACCTCAAGCTCCTTGCTGCCTCTCATCCTCACAGGCAGCCTCTGTGCCTCTGTGTGCAGATGCTATCCTTCGCATACTTAGCAAATCCACTGCACAGAAAGCACCTTCATTAAATCTGCATTTTGAGCACCTAGCACCATGTCTGGTACAAATACTCACCACATGGATTGAGGAAGCACCAGCTTACGTGGGTCTGTCATCTCAACTGTGAGGCACACTTGAGAAAGTAGTTTGTGCCAAAGCACCTGTACATCTCCCCCCAAAGTAGAGACTGTGTAAACTGGCAGATCAGACAGGAAGTGCAGCTTGGGGCCATTTGCGAAAGTGAGTGAAGCAAACTGGCTCCACTGATGACTGACGCCAGCACCCTGGCCTCACTGGCACCCAGTTCTGTCCACTGAGTAAGCGAGGCGCCCACTGCCCCTGATTCGCTGGTCAGCTGAGATGCCACGACTCTTTGTGACAAGGAGACAGTTTCCCAACTGTGAAACTAACTTCTGAAAGTTCAGATGGGGAAGTGGAAACTGCCCTCCTACAAGGCAACCGCTGCTCTCTGTTTGCAGCTGACCAGACTCTCCTGCACTTCTGCCAAAGAGAGTAGAAACTCAGGGACGCAACTGAGAAAGGAAAGGAGAAGAAAGCCTGCCTGCTTGCTGGGCTTTGTATTCATGTGCCGCATAACAAATTTAAGTCAGCCACAGACAGCATATGAGAGAGTGGTCCCACAACATTACAACACCACATCTTACTGTACATTTTCTATGTTTATTAATGGATATGTCCAGACACACAAATATTTGCCATGGTGTTACAATTGCTACAGTATTCAGGATAGTCACATGCTGTGCAGGCTTGTAGCCTAGGAGCAATAGGCTGCACCACATGGCCTAGGTGTGCAGTGGGCTATTCCACTAGGTTTGTGTAAGTGCACTCTGTGATGTTTGTAACATGATGAAATCGCCTCACGATGCATTTCTCAAAATGTATCCCCATCATTAAGCAACGCACAACTGGATTCCAGAATGTCTGGGCCTCCGACAGGTCTCATAGCCACAAAATATTATCCAGGATTTCTAAACAAAACAGATGAGCCCAACACCAGAATTTAACTATAGAGTCCCCAGCAGGCGGAAGTACCTTGAGCTTTGGAAACTATTTTTCTCTCTCCATGTTGCAAGGACTTGTTGGCCTTTCAAGATGATCAATCCCCTTTTGCCCTAATTTGACCTTTAGTCTGCACGTGAGAAATACATAGGGCCATCCCTCGGTGGGGGTCATTTGCCATGGGATGGCAAATCGCCAGTTGCTCTCTCCACACTGCTCTGTGCTGCACATGCATTGATTCATTCAAGGCTCACTGCTTCCATGACACCTTCCCTGATATCTACAGCCCTCATAAGATCTCTCGTTCTTTGACTCCCTTTGTCTTAAGTATGGTCCTCTTTCTCGTACTATTAGGAACTTAATCTTATTTCATTTTAGGTAATATGCTATTATTTAATAGAATAACTCACTTGACGCAGGAAGGCCTGAATATACCTAGCTGTATGCACTCATGGATTAGAATCGGAAGGGCACTAGCCAATCGGACAATGGTGAAATTTTACCATTGGAATTACAGAAAGACAGTCAAAACCAACGGGGCATTACCCAGTCAGTCCAACCTCACATCTTCCATGCATCATCCTGGCAGGTACTCATTCAGCCTTTGCATTCCTCCAATTACAGGAATTTCTTTTGCTTTGCAGTAACTTATTCCCATATAGGACCTCGTCAAGCTTCTATATATAGTTTTTTATATAGAAAATAATCCTTCAAGTTGAAAGAATTATTAAAGGTAATACCCTCAGCAGAGATAATAAGTTAAATATGCATTTGTTATCTGCACTAATACCTCATTCTACATGTTTCTTAATACATTATTTAAACACCTGAGATATTTAATACATAGCTAAGAAAAAGTGGAACTCTCAAGTAGGGCAATGAATGAACAAAAGGTAAATTAAATAATTTATTAAAAGGCCATACATGTGCCCAGTAAATATAGGAAGAATGTATCCTAACAAGTAATCAAAGAAATGCTGTCATCTGTCAACTGGAACGCCCACTTCAGAAAACAGAACAGCCTGTGTCGGGAGGGCTGAGACACCGGCCTCCCCTGCACTGCTGGCGGGGACGGCCACAGGCCTCGGGGATGACTGGCAAATGTGACATGGCTCTCCAGCCTTTAACCAGTAATTCTTCTTTTTGGAATTTATTCTAAGAAAATAACCAGAGAAGCAAAGATTTATATATAAGGATGTTCATCCAAGTGACATTTACCAAAGCAAAAAGTTGAAAACAACCTAGATGTATCCAAAAAATGGGACGGAAGAAAATATCCCATGACACATTCGTGTGATAGAACATTACATAGAACACCATGGTTTCAGAAATTATTTTATGACATGTGAAATGGCAAAAATGCAATTTTAAATGAAAAAGCAAGAGTATAAGATTGTGTGCATTAGAATTGCTTTAAAATATAAATATGGACCAAGTGCAGTGGCTCATACCTGTAATCCTAGAACTTTGGGAGGCCAAGGCAGGAGGATCACTTGAGGCCAGGAGTTTGAGACCAGACCGAGTACCATAGTGAGACTCCCATCTCTACAAAAAAGAAAAAAGAAAAAATTAGCCAGGCATGGTGGCACACACCTGTAGTCCTAGCTACTTGGAAGGCTGAGGTGGGACTTTGAAGCCCTGGAGTTTGAAGTGGCAGTGAGCTGTGATGACACTACTGCACTCTAGTCCAGGGAACAAAGTGAGACCCTGTCTCAAAAAATAAAAATAAAATAAATTATAAATATTAATAAGTAAAATTGAAAACACCTAATATCTGACCATCTAGTGATTACCACTGAATATGGGTGATGAGATCATGGATCGTTATTTTCTTCTCTGTATTTTTCTGCGTATTTCTAATTTTCTACAGTAATTTCTACAGCTCTTATAATTTAAAAAAGTGGGTAATTTGTAATGCCTTATAATGAATCAGTTCCGAAGAAACTCTTCAGACTCCCAGCTAGCTAAGACAGTGTTTAGTAGATGTCTGGGCACACAGCCCTGTCCAGCACCCGGGCTGCTACCTAAGGAGGGAGCTGGTTGGTGGCAGCCAACACCTACTAAAGTACCCCACACAGGACCAGCGACGTGATTTACAGGGCCCAGTGCAAAATGAAAACTCAGAACTCCTTGTTTCAGGAAGATTACAGATCTCACACACTAACCCCAGCATAGGCCCACCTGAGTGCAGGGCCCTGTGTGGCGGCACAGACCCACACCCCGAGGCTGCCCTGGCCCCACACATTGAAGGTGCTCGATAAATATGTGTGGACAGAGAAGAAAGTGCAGATAGTTAGAAGGATCCCAGATCAGCCTTCCCAGTTGTGCCCAATGGCAAAACCACACTCAACAAGGTTTGGAATTACGGGAGAGCATGAGGTCAAGGATAGAAGACAGCTCTCCTCCAGAATTTTCCTGCACAGTCTGTATTCGAACCACACTGTCCTGTTTCCCTCCTAAATGTATCTGTTAGATCATAGTCCACGGTCTCTAGCTTTGATCAGGACAACGTGATCACTCTATCTATAAAAGAAATTAATAGCATCTCTTCTGTCTGTTCCAATAGGATATTTGGCTCTATTTCTCCCTCTCTGCCTTCCCCTCAACCCACTTTTCCTCTCATAACCCTCTCTCAGCTTGGCAACAGAACTCTCCCACCCAGGCTTTCCTTCCTGCACCCCACACACACCCATGCTCAGCACTCCCTCTGCCTTTAATGCCAGCCAAGCAGACACCGAGCATGAGAAGGTGTCTGCAGAGGGTGTGAATAACCCTCATCCTGATCCCCCACGGTCTTCCTGTGCGGGCCTGGCCGGGGCCCAGCGGAACGGAGTTGCCAGCTCATGGAGGCGGCCACAGCCTAGACGGAGACGAGGCAGCCAGGGGTCGTCGCTTATCAAGGAAAAATGAGACAAGTTGTTGTGATTTATTAGACTAGAGAAAGTGGGCTGTTTAGTGGGAGCCTGACCCTCGGATGGGGAGAATGATGTCAAAGAAGGACGCTTGCCCTCAGTCGCCGGGGCTGCGTCCCGGCCTTCGGGTGCTGAAGGGCCACGAGAGGTCTGACAGCCCCTTGCACGAGCCGAGCCGGCAGACGGGCGGCGCCTTCCCCAGTCAGACGCAGGCTGGAGCAATGGCACTGGCGCCCCAACAGACCCGGGTTTGCTCCTTAATCACTGCCACATGTCCTGCCCCCTCTGGTCGTTATAAGGACTCAGATACAAGTATTGCAATCCCATTTTATAGTTTAGGAGACTGAAACACTAAGAGATTAAGTGGCGTGCCCCAAGGTCAAAATTGTAACTAATGCTGTGCCCAGGATACAAACTCAGGCTTCCTGAGTTCGGTCTAGTGGCTCCTTCTACGCTGCTATTGTTGAGGTTGGGTATAAGTGTTTCTCAATTAAGGCCCATCTAATGGAGGTAGAGAGGTACACAGGAAGGATGAGGGTGGACGCAGCAGACTCTGGGAGAAATTTCTGGGCATTTTTACATTAATAAATAAGATATAAATAATTTTCCATTTGTCTTGCAACTTAGAGGCTACTCTGCTTTTAATTAATCACATGAAAGCAGGAAGCCTGACCAACAGTGGAATAAACAATTTCTATTTTGGTTTGAAATGATAAAGTTGTTTTTGCTTATATATTTTGATTTGAACATATAATTTCTGGTGTCCTAGGGCCACTTTTTATTTTTTATTTATTTATTTATTATGGGGGTACAGATATTGTTAGGGTTACATATCTTGCCCCTGTCCCCCTCCCCCACCCCACTATGCCAGGATCTTCTAACGTGTCCAGCCTCCAGGTGGTGCCCACCGAACCCACCGTGTAAGTACATACCCTTACCCTCCTCCCCCTTTGCCCCTGCCCACTTCCCAATTACAGATTTTTTTTCAGACATTTTGTTTACAATGTATATCTTTACCTCTGCCTAAAATGTGATAGTGAAGCCAACTCTTGGAGAGCTGGCTCATTTCAGTCCAGCAGGTGTCACGGAGCATATTGTGTGCGCTGCTAGTGGGAGGCGGCCTTAGGTGTGTGTGTAAGCCTGGCCTGGCCTGCCTGACTCCCTCCAGCAAGCGTTTCTTCAAGCTGTCTTGCAAGCAGAGGCCCCATTACAGCAGTTATCAGACTGGAGTATGTTGGGCTGTTTTTGTGTCTCTTTTCCCACTATACTGTGAGCCCTGGAAGGCAAGGCCCATACCCTAGTCATCTTTATAACTCAAAAGCTTAGCAGACAATCTGACACACAGCGGAATGTGGAAAAATCTATCTGGTAGATGAGCAAATGAACACGTTGATCTGAAAGTCACTTGACCTAAGGTCTCTTATTTCTATATAGGTATAGGTACACCTGCTCTGCCTGAGACCAAGGGCCATACAAAGATTAAATGTTTATTTGTGTATTGTCTGCCCTGCTCATGCTCATGCCCCAAAGACACACTAAATCGTTGAAAACTGAAGACAACATAACCAAACTGGTACCTTCATAAGTCAGGGCTCAATTAATATATGGGGGTGGGGAGGCGGAAGGGGACAGGAGAACACTCTATAAACACTATTGCCTTCATTTGAAATGTTATGATTCTCCCCCAAAATGTAATCCACTCTGATCATCAGAAAGCATACCGTGCTGCTGAGAGACCCCTCTGGTTACCAAGGCTGCCCCTTAGTGGATCAGCTCCTTCCACCACCCACTGCGCGAGGAGGATGGCGCTCCCTGCTGTTTCTCTGACAGGGCCAATCTTATCTTTCTCAAACTTTCCGTCTTGGGGGGTGGGGGCAAGCCATAACATCAGGTCAACAAGGCCAGCACCTAATAAAATGGCAAAGCCAAAGCTTGTCTGGAACTCACAAGGCCATCCACGGGGTCGCTGACCAGGCTCTGAGGGCCAGGTGATGCGGACACAGCCCGCGCAGGATTGAGAGCCGCGGGCCGGCCCTGCCTCCCGGGAGCTGGAGTGCGGAACGGGCGCCTCTGCGCACGCCCAGCCAAGCAACCGCCTCAGCACAGGCTCTTCCTGGCGATTAATGAGGCACAGAAAAGAATAACACCTCAAACCATTAACCCCAGCCAGCCATAAATCCTCAGGAATTGCCTGGCAGAGTGGCTGCCCTGCGATATGAAGGTGAAAATGCATTTTTAAAAAGCCTATGGATTTTCTTTAATGGACAACAGTATTACTGGTGCCCAGTGGGCCTCTCCACAGACTAATACCTCACCCAGGGCCTGGCCTTTTATTCAATCTGCAACGTTCCTTTCCCCCTGCCGCTGCCTGCCTCTTTTTGGTCCTCTTTGCTCCTAGAATAGATTGAAAAAGACCACAAAAACTGAAAACGAACTGGAACAAGAGACAGATAAGCTCAGCCAGCTTGCAGGAGCCTCAACCTGAGAGCAGCTAGCTGCCTGCTCCAAAGGTGGGCTCGGTGGGCAGCCAAGGGGGGAGGAACTCAGGACAAAGACAGCCAGGCTGCGGGAGTCCTCAATCGACTTTTTTGACATTGAAATCCCCAATGAAAATGCAAAGGTTATCTAACAGGGGAAGCCCCTGAGCCATTTGTAGGCTATTAACAGCTTTGCTACAAATAAATTTGTCTAATATCGTCAATCACCTGGCAGAGCCCTGGGCAATGGAACTCAACACAGGTATGAATGGGGGAGCAGGGAAAGTCAGGAATGACGGGTTGAGAGTGTGGAAAATGTGGGAGAGCGTGGAGACGTCACCGGGGTCGGGAGGCACCAGGTCACTAGCCAATGGGCGTGAAGGGCAGTGAAGGGAAAGTAAATATTAGATCACCAATGACTTTATCAGGTTAATCATTTTCTCTAGAACAACACGGCTAGGGGATGGCTAAAAATAAACAGAAGCCAAAAGACAAGGCAGAGAGAGAAGAAAGGAAATCAAGGGGGTTAGCAAGAGGAATGGAAGAATTACTTTTGGCAGTCAGGGATATTGAAGTTCTCAGAGGTTCCACCCAACTATTAGGCTACCCTTGGGCAAGATAAGTATCTACTCTATGACTCAATTTCTCGACTCAAATGATCTCTTTCCATTCATGGAGAAGGTGACTTTCCTCAGAAAGTCACTCTGGGGGATGAAGAGTTAATATATGCAAATCTCAAGGAGACTTTGGAGAAGAAGGTTCTATTCTCAGTGTGAGGGATCCCTATTATAAGAAATTCTGTAGATTGACAGAACTAAATGGCCTCTACATCACATAACCATAATCCTCTCCAGCTGACAAAAGCACAAAAATAAAGACCAGATGTGTTCAAACTGCTGACGTCGGTTAGGCTGGTCCCACTCACTCACAGCTAGCCCAAGCCTCCCCTGAACATGGAGCTGAGGATTTCCATCACTGTATAATTGGCCTTTGTGCCACAATTTTCCTGTTCACATATATGGGCATCCTTTTGGCCTCCTTGGGTCTGGAATGGAGTTTTCCGCTCCCTAAGGACGCATCTCAGAAGCTCAGTGGGAGCCGTTAAGTGCGTGCGCCCTTTCGCAGCCTCCCGCGCAGGCCAGAGCCGGTGGCCAGCACAGCTGGTGGGCACAGGGAGCCCCACCAGTGCCTTGCCGGTGGCTCTGTGCGGGCTGGCCGGGTGGTGATTCCCTGTTTCCTACCAGTCCACCCTCTCTCTTTTCTTGTAAGTTTCCAAGCAGTATTATTAGTGCTAAAACGTTTCCTGGTTTTTATTCTCATCTGTGTTTGCCCTGTCAGACCATAAGCTTCTCAGCCACGGGAATTGTGTTTTACAATTCCTTGTTATTCCCCCTCAGCTCTGGCAGATCATGTACTGATGTCAGTACATCAAGAGCTTTAGCGACGAGTACATTGACTGGCTAATTCTAAAAAGGGAGAAACAAAAGAAAAAGTGAATTTGACAACTGGTTGCAAACCAAGGACAAATAGGTTTGTGCTTATGGACGTGTGTGCCTGTGTGCATGTGTGTGCGCGTGTGTGTTCATCTGTATATTCACTCTTTCCATAAGTGTCTGTTGGGCACTTAACTATATTCCAGGATTATGGTAGGCATAGGGATATAGCAGAGAACAAGAAAAATAAAACCCTTCCAGCTCTTAGAGAAATTGTTAAAAAAAAAAAATTTAAAAAAAGAAAAGAAAAAGAAAGCCCTATCCTCCCCGAACACCTCCTTAGGCTCTTCTTTTAACATAGTTTTCCAGATCTTTAAGCTTCATGTTGCTTGTGTGTTTGCAAAGTTTATTTCATGCCTGAAAAGCGATGGTGTGTTTGGATATGTGACATGTAAAGAAAAGATATATGGGCCCTCTCGGAATATATTTGCTTTGGGTTCAGGGTACAAAAAGCAAAAAGGAGGGAGAGATAGCATTTAGAACCCAGTAGTTTCCTTCCTGATGTGTGACTCTTTCATCTCAACCTGAAAGAAAACACTGTACAGTGTAAATATACTAATGAGGACAGCCAAAACTTCATATGCCACTGAATATTTTACACAACTCCAAACTGAGGGTTATCACAAAAACAGAAGCACTGATTTCAGGCCAAAAATTTTAGATAATAAGACATACCGATTTCTAACAAAAATTTTTCATTTAAAAAAAAATAGAAATTGCTTCCTACCTAATCTGAGTAGCAAAAACACCAACTTCATACTGCTTTACATTTCAAAGCATAGAAAATGATTTATAATAGGATCTAATTTCATTCTTATGACAGAGAGGTAATTGGGAGAATGCAATATCTTCTGCACATTAGGTTGAGGACAATTCAGGTCACTGCGACTCCCAGGTAGATTGAGACTAGAGCTCATGCAAAACATTCCTGACCTTATACTCACCTAAAACATTTTAATCTCAGTTATAATATTATTTTTAACCTGTAGCACTTAGAGAGTTGAGTTGATTATACTCTCCAGTTCATGGCACACTGTCATTCTCAGTCCTTGTAGGGCTTTTCTCTTATTTTATTTATTATTCTTTTTTTATACCTGATCCCACTCCCATTTCCCTCACTCCCTCTCCCTTTATGCCCCCTTCCCCACCCAAAGGCACCCACATTAATGTATCTGATATATATATAAATAAGATATATACATCTATGTGTATGTGTGGATTTATCTGTGTAAAACACATGGTGGTGTAGTATGTGTTTGTATTTTAAATTCACTTAAGTGGTATTATGCTGGAGATACCATTATGTTTCATACCATCTTTCATTCTATGCTTTCATGCCTCCAGGTTTCTCCTCCACAGTCAGTGCTCCAGTGAAGACCCTTGCGTATGCCCTCTTCTGGGAATGTGCCTGGGCCCCTGGGTCACAGAGCATCCCCACAAGCATCGCTTTAGCTAGGTACTGCTAGATTATTCTCCAGAATGGCTGCTCCAATCTATATTTCACCAGCAGCAGTGTATAAGAGTTCTAGCATACACAGGTCCTCGCCACTACTTCTAAATTTTCTATTCTAGTGAGTATAAAATAGTATTTCATTGTTATTTCAATTTGCCTATGTCTGATTTCTGAGTTTGAGTATATTTTCATACACTTGTTAATCATTCAGACCTCCCCTGTGTGAATTGTCTATTCCTATTCTTTGACCATTTCTATAGAGTTCATCAATCTGTGTTAGTGAATTGTAAGAATTCTTTTTCTAATCTAGATATCAATCCCTTATTGTTGCTTTGGTTAATGCAAATATATTCTCCCAGTCTGTCACCAGTCCTATTAACCCAATCTATTGTATGTATTTTCATTGAAAAGAAATTCTTTAATTTGGCTGTATTCAAATACATCAACAGTTTGCCTTGTGAATTATGCTTTGATGGTCTTATTTAAGAAGGCCTCCCTCACTCTAAACTCACAAAGATATGTTTTCAACTAGCTTTATATTTCTATTCACACATAATCCTTCTAGAAGATTAATTTTTAGTGTCTTATAAGAATCAGACAATATTTTCTACATATAGTTGCCTGATTTCCTTAATCCATTGACATATATTTATGATGTCTCATCTATTATATGCCAGGTTTCCACATAAACATGGATCCACTTTTAACTACTTATTCTGTTACATGGATTTATATTCCTATTCTTTTGCTTATATTACATGGTTTTTACTACTTTATATTTTTGTATTACATTTCTGTATCTGGCACAGTGAATCCTCCGTCTAATCTTCCTTTTCCAATTTGACTTAGTAGTTCATGGGAATTTGTTAATCCATATAAATTGTAGAATAAGCTCTCGGCCACTTCTTCAGTTCTTTGATTTTGAAAGACCACATGATCACTTGTTCCCCTTCCTCCTTGGGGCTTCATCCCAGCCCTTTATGTCATTTAACTTTCTATTGCAATTGATAAAAACCCAACTCAAAACAATTTAAGTAAATAATAAGGACAATGTAGCAAGTACACAAACAACATCGTCAGAACATTATCTTTTCCCCTACCTCTTCACTCTACTTTCCTCTGGATCAGCTTCCATCTCACACGAAATTTCTCAAAGAGTAGATCCTTAGCTGTATCTTGGTTTTCTAGCAACCAAACAGAAAGAAGCTGCTTCCTTCCTAAAAGCTTCATCAGAGTTCCAGGAGAATTCTCATGCCCCATCCCATCCTGTCCTGAAACAACTGATGTGGCCAGAGTACAGAAGGCTCTGCTCGGCCCGTGTCTTTCATCTGCACACCTCTGGATCAACCCCGTCTGACACGCTGGACACTAGCCAGAAAGGAGAAGTTCTGTAAAGAAAATGCTTTCACCAGACAAGAGAACACAGGCAGAAAAAGCAAAGGCTGCAAAGGGGAATGATCCAATTGTGACAATCCATTGCACTTATTTATTTCCATCTGACTCCTCCTACCAGAATGTAAGATCCTTGAGGGCAAGCCATGTGGCCTTTCTATCTTTTGGGCCCCAGTTCCTAGTCAAGCACTGTTACACAGTGGGCAGTCACCAAACATCTATTGCGTGTGAGTCAGTGAATGAATAAAAGGAGGCAGGCGGAGTGGTTAGGGCTAGGGTGCATGAGGTTGCATTTGAAGTGGAAAGAAGAGGAAGCAGCAGTGACTGCACTAGACCTGTTAAACTGGGATTTTACAAGTCAAGATGCCGACCTCAGAAATGGGGTCCATGCTCCTCTGTCACAGTACATAAAGCCTAAAAATTAATTCCACCATCTTTCCCAACATCTGACTTCTCCTGTAAGTGGAAGTCTAGTCTAGTGGTTAGGAGTTGTACAGCCTAACAGACCTAGTTCCTATCTTAACTCTGCCACTTCTTAGCTCTGAGAACTTTGCCCATTTAGCCATTTGTGGCCATAATTTCTTTTTCTGCCCAATTGGGAATAATATGTACCTTGTACAGTTATTATTATATTTTTAAAGATAAGTGTATAAAGAGCTTAGCCCAATGTCTGGCACTAGGCTATAAGAAAATCACTCTGTAACAAATACACTGAAATCATATACTATATGTCAGGCAAGATGCTTGGCTCTGAGGAATCAAACTAGGTGAATAAGGCATGATCTCTCCTTTCAAGCTGCTCAGAATCTTGCAGGGAAGAGTAATAATTTGAATAGTAATAACACTAAAGTATGGTAAGTATAATGTTAGGGAAGTATAGAATGCTAGTGGGCACAAACTAGACTACCTAATCCAGTCTATGCTAGTTAGGGAAGGTTTCCCAGGGCTTGTGATATTTTTTACAAAAATGAAAGAAGGAATAAGAATTAATAAGGTTAAAGGTGAGAGTGTTCAAACAGGAGACTATTTCAGGCAGAGGACTCAGCAGGGCATGCCTCAGATTAGAGAGAGACCTTGGCAAATTTATAAAGAAAAGAAATTCTGAATGGTTCTCAATAAATGTCATTTAATATTAGTATAACTATTACTATTATGATTATACCATTATTAATATCTATTAACTCTTATTATGCCCTATAGGATATACCCGTTCTCCTCTCTTAAAAAATCTTTGTTGATATTCACGCAAACATATATTCCTTGATTTGAAAACTGGCAGGGTGTGTTTTATTTGATTTAAAAAGATTTATCAAAGACCCTGAACCACATAGTCAAAGGATGCTGCAGTTTAGATCTGGGGAGCATTTGGGAGAAATAACTTATGTTAACTGCAGATTCTGATTAAAGGAAGTTGAAAAAATAATGAAGAAATCTAGGAATAGGGTATTACCTTGCAGCGTGGTAATAAAATTGGCACAGTCAACTTCAGGGGACATTTCAACCAAAAGTAGACATTCCTATGAAGAAAAAGGCAGCAAGAAAGGAGAAGGATATGGGAACACAAGAAGTTCTTTTTGTTTTGTTTTGTTTATTCACCTGTAATGTACAGCTGAAGCATAAAAAATTAAATCATGTGCTCTCCACATTCAGTGGGGTTATCATGAACTCATCATCTAAAATTAATTGAGCTTTGAGTACTTTTTTCTGGCAAATGTGATACAAATGGACCCAGTCACCGTCACTCACCTTAAAGACAGGCACCCGGGCTGGGACCCAGTGAACCTCACCGGTGGAGTCGGCATCACAGCACACCCTGAGTGGATTCTTCTCAGCGGTGTAGAAGCGTGAGTTCGTGGAAGTATCACCTGCAGGGTTTTTGAGATGGTAGAAACATCCAGACCCCGACGCTATAGGACCAGACCTATCAGATCAGCATCTCTATGAGTGAGATGGACCCCCTCCCCCCACCCCCGCTGTTTCCTCTCTCACTTCCTCTCCTACTGCTCCTCCCTTGGACCGCCTCACTCCAACCAGCCAGCCTCCTTACTGTTGTGCTATATGTGCCTGTGTAACAAAAAGCATTCCAAAACTTTATGTCTTAAAACACAAAATATTTATTATTTCATAGTTGTCATAGGTCAGGTACCCAGACAGAGCTTAGTTCGCATAGTGTCTAACACGTGCTAGGTATTCAATAATCGTTAAACAGCATACTTTGTGGCACTATCAGAATATGTTCTTGTAAAACCTTGAGCTCATTTGGGAGTTGCCCTATAGAAAAACAAGCAGCACTCCCAGCTATATACCCCTCCATCTGACACTGCATCTGTTCTCGTCGCAAGCACAGCTCCTGCCCGGGAAAAGTCCTACTTTCGTTTGTATGTGGTAATAAGGACGTACTCAGCCTCTTCTCAAGCAGACCCTGAAATGAGGACTCACATGCAAGTAATTCATTAAGAAAGTAATCTCAAGAGCGACTGGTAAGGAAATGAGGTAAGCAAGATGGGGAACCAGTAGGAATCAGCAAGGGCATGATCAGGAAAACCTCAGCCTCGACCTAATCCCACGGGAGCTCAGGAGCATAAGTTACAACCTCAGAGTTTGCGCCTCCTCAAGACTAAGAGTCCGGGGAGTCAAACTGCACACAGTCGCCCACTGAGCAGGTGGAGTCCAGGCTAAGCAGCTCCAGCAGCCAGGGCAGCCGCGGGGGAGCTGGAGCTGAGTCCTCGGAGCACACCCGCCACAGAGAACTGGCGGGAGGGCTCTCCATCTGGAAGGATGTCGCCAGTGTCCACTGACAGGACTGCCAGAAACCAGCCTCTGGCTCCTTCCGATACAACTATGGGTCTAACCTAGAACAAGATGGAATTGCCATCCATGTTTAATCACATTTAATCCTTACAAAAAAAAAAAAAACCCTATGAGATTGGCACAATTATTATTACTATCGTAATCAAAGCTTAAAGAAAGTAAGGGGCTTGCCTAAGATCACATACCTATTAAGTGCCAGAGCCAGGATTCCCACTCTGATTTATCTGTTTCAGCATCTCTGCTTCTGATTACTACTTTATAATTCAAAATGTATTTATTCTTCCAATTTCACTAACATGATGGAGAAGATCCAAGGTTAAACAGGTGTCCACTGATAGAAAGGGGAATGCTTGCCCAGGTATACTGACCCCCTCCATACCTCTAGCATCGGAGATAGTAAATATCTGTTTCATGAACAGAGAGTTAATTATTATACAGGGGCCTGTTGATACAGCAGACCTCAAATATTTATAGGTTGAGTGCACACAAATCCAAGTATTGACAGGTATGAATAATACAGACTGTATTCTACTCAAGAGCGGTCCAACAAGATGTTTCCCATGCGGGAAGAACTCATTGTTTAGTATAGGTATGGATAAACGCAACATCAAAAGCTTTTGGTCTTATTTTTTGTTTCAGGTGAATTCAAGTGAATTCGCAGAGTGACGATTCCAGGGTAAGTGTTTTGGGTTTGAGAGAGGATGAGAATCTGGTTTCCACAGGGGTGATGTCAGAGAAGATTTAGTCACACGCTGCATAATGACATTTCTGTAGCTATGGACCACCTACATAACAGTGGCCCCATATGATTATAATGAAGCTGAAAAACCCCAATAGTCTAGTGAGGTGTTAGCCACAGTGTGTTACTCGTATGTTTGTGCTGACGCTGGCGTAACCAAACTTACTGTGCTGCCAGTCATATAAAAGTGTAATACACACAATTATGTACTGTGAGTGTGAAATACTTGATAATGATAATTAATGACTATTTTACTGTTTCGTGTATTTACTACACTATACTTTTCATCATTATTTTAGAGTGTACTCCTTCTACTTATAAAAATGTTAACTGTAAAACAGTCTCAGGCAGGTGCTTCATAGGTATCCAGAAGAAGTCGTTGTTATCATAGGAGATGACAGCTCTATGCATGCTATTGCCCCTGCAGGCCTTCCAGGGGACAAGGTGTGCAGGTGGAAGACAGTGATATTGATGATCCCGACCCTGCATAGACCTAGGCTAATGTGTGTGTTTGTGTCTTAGTTTTAAAAAAAGTTTAAAAAGTAAAAAAATAAACACAAAATTTAAAAAATAGAATAAGGATAGAATGTACAGTCGTGCCTCACTTAACTACAGGGACACATTCTGAGAAATGCATTGTCAGGTGATTTTGTCATTGTGCAAACATCGTAGAGTGACCTTACTCAAACCTAGATGGCACAGCCTACTGCACAGCTAGGCTGTACGATATAGCCTATTGCTCCTCGGCTACAAATCTGTCTTTTTCTTTCTATCCTTATAGAATAAGGATAGAAAGAAAAAAAAAATTTTGTACAGTTGTATAATGTGTTTCTGTTTTAAGCTAAGTGTATTACCAAAAAAAGCCAAAAAGTTTTAAAAATTAAAGTTTATAAAGTAAAAAGATTACAGATAGCTAAGGTTAATTTATTATTCAAAACAAAAATTTTTAATAAATTTAGGGTAGCCTAAGTGTACTGTATAGTGTTTATAAAGTCTACCGTAGTATACAGTAGTGTTCTAGGCCTTCACATTCACTCACTACTTACTCAGTGACTCACTCAGAGCAACTTCTGCTCCTGCAAACTCCATTTATGAAAATTGTCCTATATAGATGTACCATTTTTTATCTTTTATACCATGTTTTTTACTGTACCTTTTCTAGATGCCTATATGTGCAAAGACTTATCACTGTGTTACAACTTCATAGAGTATTCAGTACAATAGCACACTGTACAGACTTGTAGCCGAGGAGCGATAGGCTGTATCGTACAGCCTAGCTGTGCAGTAGGCTGTGCCATCTAGGGTTGAGTAAGTTCACTCTACGATGTTTGCACAATGACAAAATCACCTGACAATGCATTTCTCAGAATGTGTCCCTGTACTTAAGTGAGGCACGACTGTACATGGGGATCACCAAATTCAGCCAAAAAGCCTCTTGCTGCAAAGCACAGATGTCCTCATCTGGTCTCATGGAGCCACCTGTGATGCCAGGTGAGCAGACACCTATTTTTCACACATGTTCTTTCCTATTGGCTCACAGGGGGCACACCTATAGTCCTCAGATTATACACAGGCTAAAGGTGTGGAGACCAGGTGAGTGGGGTGAGATGGTTATACCAATCAATCGGGATTTTACAACTTCAGTTTTAGATTAGTTTGTTTTGAATTGTACTGATAGGTCTGCAGTGAGCAGCCACTCAACTTCATTCTTTCTAGTAACCGGTAGTAATACCTTTCCTAGGTGCCTCTTTAAGGTTGGAGTTTAACTAACTGATCACATAACACATAGAAACTAACCAGCTTGTGATTTCTTTTACCTTTTTATCAAATTATAATATAAATATGCAAATAAATGCACATCAGCATACAGCTCAATGAATTTCCACAAATGGAACATGTCTAATCACCACACCGGGAGCCTCCCTTATGTTCTCTTCTAGTCCTGCACATCTCTCATGAGCAAAAGCTCCCCTGACTGCCAACACCATAGATTAGTTTAGCTTGTTTTTGTACTTTATATAAATAGGATCACACATTGTGAAATCTTTTGTGCTTGGCTTCTTTTGCTCAACATTATTTGTTGAGATTCTTCCATGTCACTGCATTCAGTTGTAGATCATTTATTCTAATTGCTCTGTATTATCCCATTGTGTAAAAATGCCTTGATTTATTTATCCTCTCTACTGTCAGTAGACATTTGTGTAGTTTCCAGGCTTTGTTTACTATGCATAACGCTGCTACGAACATTCACATACATGTCTTTGGTGTAATTCTGTTGGAGACACATTTAGAAGTACAACTGCTAGGTCATAGTGTGAGCATGTATTCAGCTTCAGCAAATAACACCAAACACTTCTTCAAGGTGGTATTTCCAGCTGTGAATTTTGCCTGTGTACTTTTTACCTGTGGGTTTCACCTTCTAATCTTGGCTTCATAAACATAGAACTTGTACAGAACTAACCAGTTAGGGACTACACAACTACAGCCCCACCTCTCCTGAGGATGTAAGTCTCTGAAGAACATGAATTTGAAGTTCCCCAAAGTACCTTAACCCTTGCAGATGCTCTGGGAAAAAATGGCAATTTGGGAGTAATTCCATGTTGTTGGTTATACAGCCTGCCATGATAGAATGGTTACGGCACTTGAAACCATCTTTTGTTTTCAGTAAGAGAAGAACTTCACAAAGTCCGAAGCAAGTACAAAGAAGCGTTTGCAAAAGAGACAGAGGCTGGGTCAGATATCTTGCGCTTTCCGCACACACCACCGAGAAGTCCCAGGAGGCTGGTACTCTTAACAATCCCAACGAAAAGACATCCTGACAGTCTCCAAAGTGGTGTAAATCACGGCTGTGTGTAGCTTTGAAAAATCTATCTTTTGTTACTCATCTCTCTGTTCTGAAAGGGTGGGTGGGGGTGTACAAAGGCACACAGCACTCTGCAAATGGACAAACAAGTTCCAGACAATGGTTCCCGCCCTTGCCAAAGTTGTGGTTCAGATTTTTAATAAGCTCATTGGGAGTTAGTCTTGTTACTGTGGTTTACTCATTAGCCCCTTGAAGTCACTGCTGGGTACCTCAGGGCGAAAGCCCAAAGCCTCAGCGTTCATGTAAAGGGCTCACCGCCCAGCAGGCAGCAGTGTCTGGGCTTCCTTCATGGCCCAGGAAGGTGCCGTCAGCCAGCAGCTCCTTCCTGGAAAGGAGCAGGGGCGCTGGGCTGGGGACCAGCGCTCACACGCAGGGCCGCAGGAACGGCTCCGCAGGAGTCCAGACAAGAGCTCCTGAGCACTGGAGCTCAGTAACGCAGAAGTCCTAGGCCCTAGATGGAGCCCCTCCCAAACGCCTCCGTTTCAGCTTTGGTTGGTTTTCCCATAGACGGGGGATATAAAAAAGCACTGGGAAAATACCCTCTGGCTGATCGAAGTTTCACAGTTGTGGGTTTATCATCATTTCCTTTGACATTAATCTGATAAAAGTCCACTTACTACAGGGCTTCCAATCTAGTTCCATATTTGCAGTTTTCCTAAGCGTCATCATGGTGGTGTACTTGCGAGTCTTGTCCTAAAAGGAAATTTATTCAAAGAAAAAAGGAAGAAGAGAAATGAGATTTTTATAAAACAATGACACCAAATTGAAGCTTTATAAGAAAATGCTACTTAACACTTGCTGCTCCCCACCCTTACCATAATGACATTCTATAATGCTTATGATGCTCGTATTATATTATGCTAATGGGATTAGCCCCTTCCCTGGCTCCTCAGTGCCTTCCAAAACCAATTTAAACTACTAACCCTCCCTGTCACTGACCTTTCCCACTCAGTTCCTGCCTGCATTCCCCCCTCATCCTGACACCTTCTCCTATGTCATTCTCATACCTGAATAAGTATATTTTCATTCTGCCTCCTTGGCTTCATGCATTTTATTCCACCATCTGGCTTGTTGGAAAATCAAATTATTCCCTAAATGCCACCTCCCTATCCCCATGTACTTCCCCTCCCTCTTTATAACTCTCATCTTCCAGAATATCCTAATTACCCTTCTGATCTGTAGGAGAAAGGGGACTAGACATATTGCCCAACATCATGGAAAGAGAGTGGAAAGTTCTCCTTAAAACTCTGATGTTCTACTCGGGTGATGGGTACACCAAAAGCCCAGACTTCACTATTATGCCTTATACAGATGTAATGGAATTCAACTAGTACCCCCTAAATCTATTATAATTTTCAAAAGGAAAGAAAAAATATTTAAAACAAAATCTCTGATGTTGCAGAAACGTGTGTACACCAAGAAGAGTCTGGGAAAAGTAGTCATAATTTTACAGCACAGCCTTCCTCAAATCTTTTTCTAACTTGTTTTCTCACCTGTCTACACATCATGCCTGAAAAGTATAGGGAGTCATTTATTATTATCCATGTATATGAACAAAGAGATAAGCAGGTTAAGTAACTTGACCAGCTAGCCAACAGGAAAATTTGAGCTCATGTTATTAATACTTCTGAGTTGAATTCTTCATTTTTAACACATATTCTTCAAGGCAGGTTGGTACATTTTATGCATTTTTACACTTAGATAGCCATGAGATATGGTACTGTACATTGTGATACTGGTTCACAAAGACTTACAAAACAACATTAGCTACTGATGCTCACGACAGCCGTTAGAGGAGGCGGAGCAGCAGTGGCAGAGCTATTTCATAGTGCAGGAGGTGAGACAGGGAGGTGAGCCGATTGTCCTGGGCTTCTGCCTTCTTGTTGGTGTTTCTCCATTATATTATACTTTCCTATAAAATTTGAGGGGTGTAAGAAGGCCCTCCTACACAAGTATATTTCTTTGATAAACCTGCATAACACCTGAAATTATGGCATTATAAATGTGTTCCTTTAAATTTAAGTACTATGTTCCCAGATATAAAATGCAAAGCCAGAATCATGAGAATTAGTTCTAGCATAGCTGTCATCTTCCATAGCTGTAAACAAGGAAACTAACAATTCAGAAATAAGTTGCCTGTGGTTCCAAACTAGATGTTTGTTGAAACATTAGTGGAAAAAATCCTTGAACAATAAGGAGTGTGTCCTGTCTTCATGATTTTGCTAGTTTGTGACCTTGAGCAGATTACCTTTGAATTATAGGTGCAAGAGAAATAGTAATAATGCCAACATGAAATAAAGTAGTGAAACTGTAAACTGGATACACCTTGAATACTGTAAGTTACTACAAAAATGTTAGTTTCAGCCAGTTGCGGTGGCTCATACCTATAATCCTAGCACTCTGGAAGGCCGAGGCGGGCAGATGGCTCAATGTCAGGAGTTCGAAACCAGCCTGAGCAAGAGCGAGACCCCATCTCTACTAAAAATAGAAAGAAATTAATTGGACAACAAAAAAAATATAGAGAAAAAATTAGCCGAGCATGGTGGCATATACCTATAGTCCCAGCTACTCAGGAGGCTGAAGCAGTAGGATTGCTTGAGCCCAGGAGATTGAGGTTGCTGTGAGCTAGGCTGATGTCACGGCACTCTAGCCTGGGCAACAGAGTGAGACTGTTGTCTCAAAAAAAATAAAAATGTTAGTTTCTATCATGATAATGAGTTAAACCATCATGGTCTCCTAAAAATATTGAAAATGTTTTTAATCTAAAATGATCTATGTGGTTAAAACGTCACTTTTGAAAATAAAATTTAGAGAAGTTACAAGGAATCATGGTGGCAAACCACCTTTTCACTATCAAGTTAAGTCTCTGAAGCACAAAGCTTTGTGTCATTCCATGATTGGACATCTGCACACAGAGTGTGCTCCAAGGACTCAGGTCAGGTTGGAAACAGACCTGGGAAACCTAGGCTGCCCCATGAGATCAGTTTTGGTACCAAGCGGAGCAGAGCGGGGATATTTATGGAGCCTCCAATAGTCTCCAAGCAATCCTGGGAGAATAGAAAAGCAAATCTAGCCAAACAAAAGTACAACCAAGATAATCTTTCACACTCCGAATGTTCATTTATTCATTCATACATTTAACAAATATTTATTGAAAGCCAACTATGAGCTAGGTCCTCATCAAGCTCAGTGGTTTTCCTTAGTGGGAAAATAGACCAGTTCTTCCCTCGGAAAGCTCATGGTCTAGTTTCCACAGATAGTGGAAAGGCCTACCCAATCATAGAGTTCCAAGAGTATTTCTTCAAGGCATCTCAAACAATGAAAATGGTCATTGGAATCTTCCAGTCATATGAATCCATTTTCTTTCCACCAATTGTACTTGCCCTGCCTGCCCTGCTGATTACTCCCTCAACCTTGCTTTTTGGTATAAGATTTCTTTCTTGCCACTTCTACAACTGGGAACAATTCCCCAGTCATTGAGAAATCCCTCTCCATCGTCAAAGGAATACTGTGCATCATTCTCCATGCCTATTCTCAGTCCCTGTGTTCCAGGTAAATTACACATTTTAGTGCCTCAAACATACCATTCTCATTCTTGCCTCAAGTCATTTGCACCCTCAAAACTCGCTGCCTAAAATCCCTCCCCAGGAACCCTCTCTTCTGCTAACACACACACACATCCAAACCTTGACTGGGTCTTACTCACTCTTCAGTCCTCAGCTTAAATATCACCTCCACAAGGTCATCCTGACCCATGTGCTCCCTCTGTGTCCTTTCTCATGATCCTGTTCACTCATCGGCACCTGTTCAATAAGCTCCAGAAGGGCACGGAGTTCATCCCCCAGAACCTCATTGCCCACACAAGACACTTAACAAATATTAATATTTTTTGTATAATTAAATGCATATCAACTAACTGCTACACTAAGGTGAATTTTAAATATGCCTGCTCATTCCTCTGAGTTGATCTCAAGTTTTTCTCCCTCCTTGGAGAGCTCATTCCTTCAGACTGCAGCCTCCTGAGAGCATTGCCTTATTTCCCTCCTAATGTGGTTTCCCTGCCATGCATGTCCAGGGCACCATATGAATATTAAAAGCATAATCAAATGCTATGTAGTTGGAATATGGTGAATAAATGACTCAGTGAGAACTGTCCCGCTATTGTGTGATTAAACAAGATAATATTCCGTGTTTATTATCAGAGTATTATCTGTTGTTAGAACAGGATGAAGTCAACGTAGTATAGATTAATGTGGGTGTCACCGGCTTGCTGTGTCCAGAGTGGATGAGGAATCTGGCATTGTCCCTGGAAGATGGGGAAGAAATCGGATAAGCTCTGAAGCTAATGTTTTTTGATCTTTTCATACCTCAAGCAGGATTTCTTCACTACTGTGGACGGGGGGAAGACAGGATTATCCAGAACACACGGAGCACTTGGAGAAAGAGAACACAAAGCACTGAAAACTCAACTCTGATAAACATAAAGCTTGTGTCCTGCCAACACAAAAACAGTTTTTCCAAGACACAAATTTCATGGATAAGTTCAGGGAACCAAAGGGACATTTGATCAGTTGGCGACTGAAATAGAGCTAGTTCTGGATCCAAATTCTTTCCTCAAATCTTCACATCCAATCCTTCCCCCCACCCACTACCTCTTGGGAATCCCATGGTATCAAATTTAGCACTCAGATTCCTTCAATAGAGGCTCTCTCTGCAGGCCTTAAGGAGAAGAGAAAACAGAAACCAAAGAAGCATGTGAGCTCTTCTGTCACCTCTCCAACACCTGAATGGATTCAGCATCCAGCCTCTTTATAAAATTCTGCCCCCAAATTCCACTTTCAGCATCATACATGTGCAAGCAAGAGGAGGTGTGGTGGGGGAGGAGGTGGGAGTTGGGGGTGGATGGTTCAGGTCCTAGAGACAATGGGTTCTTTAAAAAAAGAGAAAGAACCCCTTTTTAAAAAGCCAGATCTGAGAGTCTGTACAGTGACATTCAACTAGTGTT